TAATAATTAAATTCACGAAAAAATATTAATAATAATTTTCACATAGCTTAAATTGTTTAAGAATTAATAGAAGAGTGAGAATTCATTATTTTTAGAGACTAGGTATTTAAAGTTCACCAAAAATGACAAAAGAACACCCCTTAATTTTTGTATTTTCTAAAACTAAGAAAAACCTTACTGATGATAAGTTCGCATTTTACATCATTTGATTATTAAGAATCTTTTTTACACCTTTAGAAACTAAAGTCCAACTGCTTGTCTGTCTACTGAAAAGTCAACAAAATAAAACAAACAATAATGATGCAAAAGCACATTAGATTATTTAGATTAGATTACTGGAGCCGCTGGAATTCCAAACAAAAAAATCCGTTTCAATACTTATTAAATATGTACATTTTATGTATATAGGATATAGCAAACAAATTGCCTTTTGTCACGTGTCATAAGTTTCACTTCTATTAACCCCCAACAAATTGAATTCAAATAAATGGATTTTAATCAATTTCAATGAAGCACAATTGAGCAATTATTTTGCATATTTTAGAGGGCAACAAACACCCAAAAAATTCCCTATAACATTTAAGAACTTATTTGAAAAGGAAAATAAATCGAAAAGAAACCAAGAGCGACAACAAAAAACGAAACAAATTAGCCGAAATAAATCGCATGTGAGTGGCCCGAAATAAACCCAATGTCAATGTGCATATATACATATATATTCTTGATTGTCGCACCGTAGAATTTCTTTTCGGACCGATTAGAGATTATCTAACTGGCTTAACAGAACCGATTGCCATGGTTCAATGGCTGCTGATAAGCAAATTACCAGGTGTTTTACGTAAATTTCTGGGTTCATGTGGGGTTGCGGGGGCGTGTAAAGTACTTGACAGAGGTCACCACTCACCTTGCAGCCCAAGTAGATGGCCATACGCACACAGGCGCGAACGGCAGCGTTCATGCCCTGGGAATCCCCGCCGCTGGTGAAGACCGCCAGTCCTTTGTCCTTCTGCGAGCCGCGGGCCAGGAATCGTTGGTTAATCTCGGAGTTCATTTTTCTATATTTTTTTTTTTGTCTTTCTCCCACTCAATTATCTGTATCTCGGATATCAAAGGAGATATATATCTCACAAGCACACACTATATAGGACTAGGAACTGTTATGCACTATTAAACGGGAAGGTATTTCCTATTTTCCCCTATTTTGAACTATATATTTTAACCACGCAGCTGGAGCTGGGTTATTATATCCAAAATGGGCTATAAATACTACTACTGCTCCTTTCCGTGGCTTTTCAGTTACTAGCGATATATGTTCGCAGGCGGTATTCACAAGTTTCGCTTTTGCTTTTGACGTTTCAAGGTGACCTTCAGGCCAGACGCATACACAACACACACACACGGTCACACGCACACAGTCACGGGCTGGCTGTAAGTGCGTACTGATGCAATGCTAACTTTGGGTGGTTTAATCCCCCCACGTTTCTTCCACCGCAAATTGTTAAATTTTTTCAGCTTTGTGTTAAAACTTGGATGGTATTATCCATGATACAATAACATAAGGTAGTCTCGTCGGCTGTCTAAACGTTCGGGTTTTGGTCAGTGCGTGTTCGTCTTTCGAAGGGAAAGGTTGTCTGCGGACGAATTTTTTAGGAAATTAACCCTTGAGCAACATGACATTTTGCAATGTGTGCCGCAAACACGTCGATGGCGTAAAGGCACCGAAATGTTTGGAAAAAAGAGCGCTGTGGGAGGAATCGCTGTGATACTTTTAAAATAACAAAGAATGTAAAAGAAACTTTAATAATCGCAACCGAAAATATTAGTATAAGTTTTTATGTCTAAACTTATACTAACATTTTCGGCTGCGATTATTAAAGGTTCGTTTACATTCTTTGCTATTTTAAGATTAGAATATATTTTAAAATTAAGAATCTCAACAAAAGACTCAGTATTCAGAGGCAAAAACAACGCCTAATTTCAAATTCAAAATTATTAAAAATTAAATTATAAAAAAAAATTAAACTCCTTTTATTATGAAAGGCAAAAAAAAACCCCCTGAACCATCTAAGGGTTAATCCACACATTCTATTGTCGCTCTGCTCGCACTTACTAAACAGTTGCCATTTCACTCGCACTCATTGTTTTAATAGTAGGGTTCCAAAATTTGCCGACGAGACTACCTTATGTTATTGTATCATGGTATTATCTGTTATGCACGGACTTTTCGCGATTGGCGACGAGCGGAAAATAGCGTTTAAGCAATTTGTTTACCTTCAGCCCACAACTGTTCAGCTGTTGATCAGCTGTTTGTCGATGGGCGAGTAAAAGCTTTCGCGAGCTTTCACCGTTGGGAATGGGGAAATTTTTGGAGCTGTCATCGGTGGGTGTGAGCGATACGAGATATCGAATGGGGGAACTTTGAATTTTTAACGTTTCTTTGGGGGTATTAATAGGGAAAGGATAAAAATAAGAAGTTACATGGATAAAAATAATAAACTCTTTATAACTACATATAATTAAAGCTAATATTATTGAAAGTAAGGAGAATAAATTTCCGTACCAATAATTCTTATGAGTACCTTACATTTAAGTGCTTGTTGAAAAATTTTGACCTAATTCTTTCACCATGAAGTTCGACCAAACTTTTGTATTTTAATCATTTTTTTTAAATAATTGTAGTAAATTAAGTATATATTTTTTATACTCTATCTAGTGTTGCATATTTTTTCGGGACTACTTTCGTTAAATTAAAAAAACTTACATAAGGCCTGACAGGGTGCACAAAATCAATAACGTCTTGCATAGTTCTCAAACACTTTCGTAGATCTTCAAGGGATTTACCACATTTCCGTTTTGACTCAGACTTATTCTTCTTTTTAACAGCATTAGCAGCTAGTTTTTCAGATTTCATAAAGTCATCGTGCTCTTTTGTCAAAAAATCTACTGGCCGGTGTCGACCACATCGTTGCCTTAGTGTATCTTCTTTTGTATTTTCTTTACCAGGGATATCGTCCTTTTGATTACCAGAATCACTGTGCGACTTTCTTAAATGCAGCTTAAAGTTATCATCGATATTGAAAAAAACCTTTCGTTTATGGCTGCGAGGGAATCTATTTAGGAGTTTGATTCATAAAGCCAACGATTTTAAAGTACTTACGGTTCAGAACTGCATTCTCGAGCACCAGAAATATATTCGAACTTTCTTATCCCCCTTTTTAGATTATACATATATAGGCTACATTTTCTGCTTAAACTAACATCCAGATGACTTCGTGTATATTGGTGATGGATCCTTGGTAATGTCAACTGGTGGGGAGGAAATCCTTGAATGCTTTTCGATTATTTCCGGTTCTTACCTTCCTGTTAAGAAAATTGTTTGGATTCCCTGGTACATATTTTATGGGTTGGTGTGGAAAATGAAAAGGGCGGCCTTCTGGTATTCTCCCATTAATTTCCAAAAAACTTAAAAAACGATTAATGTAATAATTTAGGTTTCAAATAGATACTTACAAAGGTTTAAATTTAGTTAAAACTCGAAATTTATTTGAATGCATGCCAAATTAAATTTTGCCTCCTAAATGTTGCACATTTTTATTTGTTTTCCAATTTTTGTAAATTTTTGCTTAATTTTTTGAAAAGTTGACATTTTTGCAAATGGAAACTTTGATCGAGAAGAAATTAAGAATACAAACGCATTTGGTTGGTTTTTTGTATTATTTATTTAATTTTTTGGTTTTTTTGTTGGTAATTAAGAAACTGTAATTTCAATAAACTTAAATATTCCACTCATACATCAATCTTTGCCTCTGTTATATGCATACAATTTACGCCTACACCCGGTATTTTTTATTTGGTTGTCATTTACTCTGTTTCATGAATGTATTGCAGTTTCACAATAATTTTATATTATATGTTTTGGGATTCGACTTATTAGCGTTGCGGCAAAAGTGTTTCTTTTATTTAAATATATATTTTTTTGTTTTATTTTTTTTTTATATTCCTCACATTCATAATATAGCGATAAATTCAATTGCGAAAATATACATTTACTTTTATCATACATACATATGTTCTGTATGTAACCGTTTTGTTGGACAATAATATATTTTCTTTCAATACACATGCAAAGTTTTCACGTATGTAAATTAAAAATTTGAATAGTTTTAGTTTAGTTTGCAATATTTATGTATTTTGATTCGATCTTCATTTAAATGTTTTATTTCATATTTCCAATGCTGATTTGCAGGTTGCAATTGTTATAAATTAAGAAGTCGAAAACTTTTTGAATGATAAAATTAACTTTAAAGAAACAATCGCCAGATTTTAGGAACAATTGAAGGCTGTTTCTTTGATGCGAAAACGTTTTTCTGGGCTTTCAAACTTCTAAGTTTGATTTCCCAAAAAAAAACGAAAACAATTGGAAACTTGTGCAGACATTGCGCACAATAAAACTCGTGCCTTCGCCATGTTGCACAATTGATAAAATGATTCGACTTCCGTTTCCGGTTAATTAGACATCGTTTGGAAATTCATTTGACAGATTGTTAGATATATGTATGTATTATATGAGTTATGCTTTTCACAATTGTTTATACCAAGAGAAAACAACAAAGAAATTGCAATTGTAGATTTAACCCTTTTGTTTTATGTAAGACATGTATAAAAAATAGCAATGAACAATTATATATTTTCTGTATTTTTCCGTTCTCTCCACGTTCCTTTAACAGATATGGTTCCTGATTCATGGGATTTGAACCGATTTCCGCACGTGCATTATAAATGCAGCCCTGTCTGTGTGTGTCTGTGTTTGCTTCTGTTTGTGTGTGTGGGGGAGGTTGAAAAACGAAAATTAAACGTAAATCGAATTTTAATGAAACAAAAAATGGGAAACTAGGTTTTTTTGGTTTTATTTGTTTAGAAAAAGAATTACAAATAATACATAAGTTTTTGTTTTTATTTTTGTTTTTCTCATTTGGTTCGCTTGGTTGTTGTTGTTGCTGTTTGTTTTTTTTGCAGTTGTTTCTGTTGCCATACGAAAATTAAATAATTAATTTAGACTCTTGCAAAAAACGTATAATAACCGATTATCTCATTTCATTTCTTGTGTATACAGTTAGGAATATTATTTATTTGTTTGTTTTGTAAGGAGGAAATCCACACGAGGCATCGCTAGGGCGAACAAAGTCGGAGCACCCAGAGTTTGGCCGTTTCGATCGGGGAAAAAAGACACACAATTATGAATTATCTGCTAGATTAATTTGATTCAAAAACCGGAAAAATCCTACCAAACTCCGAAATACAACGCATTTGCTTGGCCCATACCGTGATGCTGTATTTTTCTGTATTTCTTAAGCAGTTGCAGTTGAGCTACATTTGAGACAGATCGGCCGGCATCTGTTGTTCATACATTTAACTAATGTATATAGGGGATCTCTGTTGCAACACAGAGCCCGGCTAAAAACTAACCGTGACAATTGAGGGAACGACCTCAAATGCCGGCCCATCGGCCCCAAATGAACTGAAGCATCCTGCCCTCAATTCGTATGTAAATGTCTCAAATGTTTGCGCTTCCTGCCTGCCTGCTGCTCTCGCCTGGATTATCGTTTCATTTCAAATTGTTTTGCTTTGCTGGTTTTGCGTTTTATAATATTTGTTTCTCTTTGTTGTTTCTGTTTTTTGTTTGTTTGTATTACTGAATAATATTTGCATAGTCAAAAAGGAAACATTTGCTTAGTTGTTTGGTTAGTTGTCGCCGCCCTCCTGTGGCTCATCGCCGTCGCCTTGGGTGTCGGACGTCCAAAGGGTCAGGTTGTCCCTCAACAGCTGCATGATGAGTGTCGAGTCCTTGTAGGAGTCCTCGTTGAGTGTGTCCAGCTCGGCTATCGCATCATCGAACGCCTGGGTCGCCAATTAAAAATTCATTGATTAGTGTTTGTTCTCTAAAGTTTCAAGTCAAAGGAAATGTTTGGCAAGGCGAATGCAAGTTGGTAGAACGAAAGCATTTTCAAAGTGGCGTTAGGTTCGTCATACATTCATAATTGGCTTCACTAAACAAACTTCATCGAACTAAACTCGAAAGCAAAGTGTGTAAATCAAAATAATAACAACAAAAGAGTGTGTTTGACCTTAACTTAATAAAAAACGAATAGTGTTCACCAGCAAAGGCCGCAAGTAAGTTATTTCACAGGCAAAGTTTTTGGCATTTCTCATGCAGTTCGGGGGGAAAAGTGGGAGGCTTGATATACATGGCGTTTCAGAAAGTTTTAAATTTCAGTAGAGTTTTAAAAGTCTGTCCATGAAGAAATAGTTGTTAAACTTAGTTTTTTACTTGTTACTTAATACGAAAAGTAATAAGATACTTCTAAAAGTTTAACATTTTAATTGCAGTTAATTAAGAGATATAATAACTCTTGGACAGCTTCTAAAACGCCCTGGTGTTCAAGTGTTTATCTTTCATAGGGTTAAAGCTCATTAAGTTGGTATATTAGTTGCTGGATATCTTACTCAGTTTAGTCACAGAACAACAATAATTTGTATCTTTTCATTGGATGATTAGTATTTGTAAGCGAGTTGTTAAGTATACATAGAAGAGACATGTATAAGTTGAACTGAACCTGTTTAGCTAAGTGACAAGCCCTCGCTGGTGAATTGATAATTTCGTAATAGAAGACGGAAAAGTTGAGTGCAAGACCTAATCTGATTGGATGTGTGGGCTGCATTTTGGTTTTTGCAATATCGAACGCCTCCTGATAGGCTTTTTTCGAGTCCTCAACGACGGCTTAACGATTTACACATGATTCAGTTATGTAAAAAAGTAAGAAACAAATACCAAATGTTAGGAAAACCATTTTAAAAAACAGAAAAATTCTTAAATATCGATGGAGAGTGATTTTTGTGTGCCTTGCTCGCTTGCCATACATTTCGATTAATCGAGCCAAGTCTCAATATGTTATTAACCTGTTTAGCCAATTGGCAAGCTTTGTCTGGCGAGTTCAAAATCTCATAGTAGAAGACAGAGAAGTTAAGGGCCAGACCCAAACGGATGGGATGTGTTGGCTGCATTTTACCCTTGCTAATGTCAAATGCATCCTGGTAAGCGGTTTGCGAGTCATCGACAACGGCTGTGTTTGCAAGAATATTATGGTTTGGTTTATAAAGAGTTTTTGTTATTTCATAATACGGGTGTGTATCAATGGGATTTGGGTGTTTGTGATTGAGTGCTTCCCAAGATACTTACTGTTGCGTGCATCTCCGGTGGCAACCTCGGCTAAATACCTGTAGTAATCACCCTTCATCTTCAGGTAGAACACCTTGCTCTCGGGATTGCTGGCTTTTGGAATAAGGTATTTGTCCAGAAGTCCCTGCAAGCAAAGAAAATAAGAGCTTCAATTAATTTCAGATCAATTACGAACTTCTACCACAACAATTAACCAAATAAGCCGCCTGGTTTATTTGTAAACCTTGTTCTGTTACATTTTCCACTTAAAAATCCATCAAGCACGCGTTGAGTTTAATCCAATATAAGAACACCAATCAAAGGAAAATGAATAGGGGGGAAAACCCCAAGTTCAACCCTGGCAATGGTCTATTTTCTGATCCGTGTATGGCAATATAAATTCCATATACACACAAGCCAAAACCTCTGTGTGTGGGGAAAATGGAAAAATGTTCATTTTAAAAATAGATTTATTGATTGTAACAAATTTTATATTTCACTAGAGCAAGAAAGAAGAGCAGAAAACGGGGCCCACCCTCTGGAAAACCTCCCAAGCAATACCCTGGACAGCTGAGCTTGCCAAGGGCGGGGATGTATTTATATATATAAATATATACATATATATATATTTAGGCGGTTGACAGGACAGCCAGCTTCATCACAGTCAATTTAGATGAACACCCAAGTGAGTTGTGGGTATAAAAATAATTAGATGGACCAATTACAACCCCATAAATCTGTCAGAAAGAGACTTGCGCAGAATTGCAGACCAGCACTTACCAAAACTTCGTAGCAGATTTCCCTCAGCTCCTTCTCCACACGCTCTCTGTACTCACGGGCGAGCTGCTGTTTTCTAGCGGATGCTTCGGTTTTCTGCTCAATGGAGGAGATGACACGCCACGATGACCTGGTTTGGGCGTGTTAAACAAGCCGCAGAAAGGGAAGAAATACATACAGTTTAGCACTTGAACTCCATTCTATGAGGCAACATTAATCAAGCGGTGATTGATCGACTCACCTGCGGGCACCGACCACATTTTTGTAGGCAACGGAGAGCAGATTTCTTTCCTCATTTGAGAGCTCAACGCCAGTCTCTGTGACGGATTTCATGGCCTGGGCCATGTCATCGTAGCTGTATAGAGAAATATCCATTAGTAATTAAAAATACATATAATCTGGGTTGACAAAGAAATTAAAATCTTTAATGAGTGTCACAGCAAGGTTTTAAGGTAGCTTAAGATGAGCGAAAGGAAATTGGTTTTTAAAGTGAGATTTATTTTTAAAGCCTGGTTCAAAATTATTTATTATAACTGATTTACTAAAATACGTATTTTTCTAAACGATTTATTAAAAATCATAAACTTTATTTTATGAACTTTTAATTTTGAAGTTAATAGACGTATTTTTCAAATTGATGTATTAAAAAACCATTAACTGTATTTAAGAACTTTTAACTTTGAAGTCCCTTGCGATATGTGTGAAACATTCCCTTTATTGTAATAGGATTTACTTACCGTTCGGATTGCTCGGCCAGTTTAGCCTTCTGGACCAGCTCTTCCTTATCGACTGTCGACATTTTGTTGTTTGTTTTTTTTTTAGGTTACTTCACAAAACTAATAAAATACGCCACACAGTTCGATATGCCGCTCAAAAGTTGCTTACAATGGCTTTCTGTAATAAATTAGAACGTAAGCAAGAGCATTAGTTTGTTTTTTAGTGGAGGAGAAATGTAGGTGAGGCCACATCAAACCGTTATCTCAGCTAACGTTTCTTGGCAGTTTGCCTTATACAAACACCTGACTGACTAACAGACTTCTGTTGCGGATTACCAGTCTGAAATTCCACTGCCAGCAGTGGTTGCACAACATTTGGGGGCAATGTTAACTCTGCGAATTTTTATTAAGTGAGTTGCCATTCAATGGGTATATCAGAACTTTGTATTTTATGAGATTATATTGTCTGATAAATTTTTATCTCATAAATTAAAAATACGTGTTATCATTTCGAAATAAACCGTAATGCCCTATTGAAATTGTTGAGCTTTTATAAGGCGAATTTAAGTTCATGCTCTTAAAAACTTTTTTTATAATAACTTAAGACTTCACTTCAATTAGAGATTTATAAATTGGAAAATTTTGAAAATTTATCTAATAAATAAAGCCGGCTCCAGTCGTGTCCGATATACCCGCAATGCACTTTCGGAAAGTATTCCTGGGTATAATCGTACGAATTTAGTTTGTTGTCATGCTTCCGCTTGACGAAAGTGTTGAATTTAAAACGACGATGACTCATGGACTCGCAGCAGGTCTTTATTGACTAATCGCTGACGGAATGGCTAATTTAAAAAGGAAAAAACCAGCACTGGACATGGTCGCACGTGTGACAGCTATGCAACTATTTAAAGCTTAGTTTATGGTTTATGGAAGGTCGATGGTGGAGAGAGTATCTGGCTGAGAGATGTGAGAAATTCAACTTCGGCAACAGTGTTAAAAATAAACCATGAATAAAAAGAGAAGGAGAAATGGAGCAAAAGTCGGCTCGCCTTAATGCGTTAACGTGTTTTTGTGTGTGTGCCAAAGATAGATATTTATGTACGTGCATAAAGACGGTCTGTTTGTGTTCCCTGTACAGTGACGCACTCAATTATTTGCCCACTCAGTGAACTTCTATCGATTAAACGTGCAGTAATTATTCGACTACGAAAAAAACAAAAACCGACAGGAAAATATGCGACAGTCATTAATTCGCTCACACGTAATCCAATTAGAATTTTTGCGATAGGATCTATCCAAACTTTCGACGTAGGATCAATTTCCTGCTTGGCTTTTAGGAAGGGAAGTGAACGAAAATCGATTAATTTCCGCCCGACCTGGAGAAAGCTTGAAAGCAAGAACTGAACTGAGGGAGGAGGGTGAAAATCGGCGCGTGGAAATGCATATGGGCGTTGCTGGTATTTTTAGACAACTTGCGCTCTGGACAAAAAACATTTTGTTTGCCCGCCCGGCGGAAACCTCAAAAACCAAGCACAAGAATGCCAGCTAATGCAGCCAGTCAGCCAACTGATGATTGAAATGGAAAATCTCTGCTCGGCACACATTGGCGTCATAAAAGCACCACCAACCATCCCACAAATACCGCGTTCAATTGGATTTACAGTCCAGCTTGGCTAACGAAGACCGCAACATATGTTATGTCAAATAAAAAAGAACAAAAAACAAATTATTTTCTTTAATGTTAGATAAATAAAATCAAGATTTACAAAACCATATATACTAATGTTGATTTACTAATTATAATTGAAATATTTATATAAAACGGAGTTGTATTAGTCCTACCATTTTGTACTTCAATTAAAAAAAATAATTGGTGTCCCAGAAAGATGTATCTATTTTAACATCAAGACAAACTTTTTGAAGTTCAAGATTGGGCTTACATTGTTTTACAATAAGAGAGGTTTTCTTTGGGGGAACATCAATTAGAAGAGATACAAGTTTTGCAGATTCAAGAAGTAGTTATAAAATACGACGCAGATAAATGAAAACGAACTAATACAATTTTGTGTTTTATAAATGACCGTCTCTATTTGTATACCGATCGACCGCCAAATTGAAAAATCATTGACCCTTTGTCAAAACAAAAGGCGTCGGGAAGGGGCGTGGCGAGGGAGGGGGTGGGTGCGGCCTACCAACGCGTTTTTAGGTCAATTGACATGTTTTTCTGGCTGCTCGGCAAATGCCAAAACATTAAGCCAGGCGTAACGTAAATTAACGTAACACTCCCCTAAATGGGCACAAAAATGTTTAGTTTTTTTCGGATGAAAGAAAAAACTTGTTCCCAACCACGCAGATTGCTCATCTGCTTGAATGAATATATTAATAAAAGGGAAAAGATACAGGTGGGAGGTGGTGATTCGATTTTTTAGATACACCTTAGAGGAGGGAAAACCCATATGGCCCCGGCTAATTCCTGGGCTAGAAAACTCTGCAAAATCTATGGGTACTTTAAACTTTATCTGCGCCGGCCGACAGCATGCGCAGTAGCTCCAGAACCCCACAAACCCCGAAACCCAGACCGCGTTGATGTAGAAATTCCTCTACACTGTAGATACTCTACATGGGGCGAAAAAGTTACTAACTTTTATGGGGGCTCTGTGCGTATGCGTGTGCTTGTGCGTTCTGGGTGGTGGTGAGGTGATATGTGTGATGGTGTTGGTGGGGCCGCCAATCGTGTTTCCAAGTGCGGCGCTACAGAATTATAAAAATAATCGGGAGAAAGGGGGAGCCGAGAGAGAGAGGAGGAGAGCGGCGAGCGCTCAGAGAGAGGCCGAAATGTATCTACCACAGGCGGCCGCCAACTGTGTTGAGTTTGGCGAGAAAACCCACCTAACCGCGTGTCCCCATCCAAGTTGATATATATATATATAATATCTTGGCGTACTGTGTGTACATATAGCTGACTATATATGCGTATATATAGAAGTCGGCTATGTCCGCCGCCTACAACTTAACCGATGAACTGCTGATGATGATGAGAAATACGAAGCTACAAGCGAATCTCACCGCATCACATACATGCACCAATACTCGGGCAAATCGGGAATGTTCTTTTCTTTCTTTCTTTTTTTTTGCACAAATTCACACTTTTGACTTTTTGCGTAGAACTTTTTTTCGGCTTTGGATCGATGCCTGATGGAGATATTTCGACTTATCTGCGGTCCGAGTATAGATGCATGTAAGTGATTACTCATAGGCGGTTTTACACGTGTTTTTTCCTCGGATATTTTAGCAACTTTTCGTTTTATAATTTCATACACACACTGGCAGGCACACACACATAGATACAACACTCTGGGCCAGCAAAATTGTTACTTACATTCTCGATTAACTGAAACTGAAACGACAACGAACACTACCAACGAACGAATGAGAATGACGGACGGCAAAGGTTGCACACATTCGCCGCTGCCGCTGTATCTGTATCTGTGTTTCGCCTCTGCTCTCTCCGCACACATACATTGGCACATGCGCCGCCGCAAAAGAGAGGCAGCATATGGGAAAGGTGCAGGCGAGAGCGAGAGAGAGCAGTTCAGGGTTGCCAACCTGCCGTCGCAGTAATGTTGCCAGGTGTGCAGGTAAATCTTAAAAAGCAATCTTGCAGATACAATATACTAATTTACAACGCTCCAATAACATGTATATAAAAAGCTTCGACAAAAGCTAGCTTTTATTGTCAACTCTCCTGTTTTATCAGTTTATGAAGTAATAGTTTTTAGTTCGTTTCCAACCTGTTGAAACTTTTGAGCGCTTATCTAGCACCCAGATTACGCTTTTATCTTGACTTTATGGCCTCCGCAAGGAGGAAACTAATCGGGAGATGTATGCCACTGATAAGGGGGTGGCGGTAAATTGCCTTAATTCTAATTTGGATTTCATTGAATTCGTGCACTCACACATAAAAACGAGATATCAGCCCAACTTATGTTTTTTTCTAGTGGTGAGTAAGTGAGTTTTGAACTTTACGTTGTATTTCAAATTTAAGTTATATCTTGAAGAAACTAAAATTTTTTGTACCTTAACAAATAATTTAAAGATTGTTTTTTGCCGTGGGTTTTAGCTTTTTCCGTAACTCATAGTTATACATCCCAAGCCCAGGAAACTTTTTATCATTTATCATATTGAAATAAGAAAATTAAAATGGCATGTGTTAGTACCTCCTTTCTTAAAAATCAGCAAAATAAGATTGCGTTTATATTTAATAAATAAAATATATAAACGTTATTAAAAGCAATTTTTATGTAAAATAGAATCAACGAATTTTAACTTTTTTTTAAACTGTCCATTACATAGTTTATTGTAAAGCAACTCGTGCGTGACGCGACACAAACTTCGCTCACGCGCCCATCTCTACTTTTTACTACAGCTCACAAAGAACAAGACGGAGAAAATTACGTCATCGGCGTCCTATTTGCTTGCGGTAATGAAAAATTGCTACATCCATTTCCTTTTGCAATGAGTTTTTCGCAACGCGAACAGCACACGCAACGCAATATCGAACGCCCTATCAGCACCTGCCATCCAATTAGGAGGCCATTGAATCGATAAAAGTGCGTGGGCGCAGTTATTCGGGGAAAATTTTATCCGCCGACAATATGGCGGTCCCAAGCCGACACACGACGCACTAGGTGAAATTACTCACTGCGCCTGGATTTTCAAGCGATTTTTGAAGACAGGGCTATTCCTCGGGCTCACAACACTCGATTTTCGACTTGGTTTATTACCAGCGACCACTTATTAATTAGTTAATTCACCTCGTACGGGTCGGACCTGAAGGTTCTTCTTCTTCTTAACGCGCAGCTGTGTTGGAAAACGTCGGATTTCAGATATGGATGGGCCCACAGGAATTTTCCCACACGCGCGTTCGAAAATTCCGATACACGAGAGCCATATCGATAGTTAACTAGATGTATTAACCAGCTCTAACAGCCCGCACGTGTTTACTTGTTGTGTGGGATTTCATTTCTTGGTTTTACATTAGAAAACGTTGATTTTTAACAGATACAAAGATGCCGCGCTCCAAACGTGATAAGAAAGGTGAGAGCTTGGAAATTAATTTACCTCATTACCACTTGAAATACATTATAATTTCCATTCTTTAGTTTCTTTAACCAAAACCGACCGCAAGGGTCTGGCTTGGAAACAGCGAATCGTGGACGACATTCGCTTTTGTGTTGGCAAATATCCCAATATTTTCGTTTTCCAAGTCCAAAACATGAGAAATAGCCTGCTTAAAGATCTCAGGCAGGAGTGGAAAAAGAACTCTCGGTTTATCTTTGGCAAGAATCGCGTGATGCAGATCGGTTTGGGACGCACCAAAAGCGAGGAAGTGGAGTCGGATTTGCACAAGGTAAATTTTGATATAGAGATATAAAATATATTCCTAACTTATTACTTTACAAACAGCTATCCAAGCGTTTGACCGGCCAAGTGGGTCTGCTCTTCACGGATAAATCCAAGAAGGAAGTTCTGGAGTGGGCCGAAAATTACTGGGCTGTGGAGTATGCACGCAGCGGCTTTGTGGCCACGGAAACGGTTAACCTGTCAGCTGGTCCCTTGGAGGACTTTGCCCACTCCATGGAGCCGCATCTGCGATCACTGGGCCTGCCCACCAAGCTGGAGAAGGGAATCGTCACCCTGTATGGTGACTACACAGTCTGCGAGGAAGGCAAAGTACTGACGCCCGAGCAGGCGAGAATCCTCAAGCTGCTGGGCAAACCCATGGCTAAATTCCGGCTGACCATGAAGTGCTCGTGGACCAAAAGCGAGGGATTCCAGCTGCACGTCGAGGATGATGTGAACGATGAGGAACAGGCTGATAGCGCCATGGAAGAGGACGCAGAGGCTATGGAGGACAACGACGACGATGATGACGAAGAGGAGGACGATGAGTAAATTAGTTTTAGGCGTAGAATTAATTTTTTATGTATATATCAAGTACAGAAAATATATATACGTGTATTTTTACATTACTTTTATATTATCTTACGTTCAACACAGATAATACTTGATTAATTGTAGCTTAGACTAAAAACTAAGTAAACAAAACACTTAAAAAGCATTCCAGATATTGCAGCTAGTGACCAAAAGCCGTTGTACGAAGTCAAGAAAGGCACACTCCTCAGTTTGCGTCGTCCGAGAGGATGTAGAGCACCAGAGGACGTTCGTTCTCGCTATCATCCTCCAGAAGGTCGCTGCCATTCAGGGAGATATCCGGCGAGGCAGAGGCTTCCAGCTCCAAGGCACTCGTGGTGGCACTTAAAAAGAGTTCCAAAGGCATGGGTTGCCCAGAAACTTCTCGATTCGAAGGAGTTTCTGCCTCCAGTGCCACATCTTCCTCTTCCTCCTCGGCTATGTCCAAATGTTATTGATCCGTCGAATTTGGCTGAACTGAGCAGCCCGCCGCGATGTGGTCCATCACTTGCTGCTTCAATTGCGCGACATGGTCCTTGAGGTTCTTCACAATGCTCGCCAGATCGACGTTCTCGCCCTTGAGGATCTTAACGCGGTCCTCCAGTTTCGAGATGCGCTCCAGCTTGCGCTTGCGGCACTTGGAGGCGGCCACGCGGTTGCGCTGCCTCTTCCGCTCCAGCTTAATCTTCTCCTGGGATTCCATGTCGATGGGGCTGACGTTGGGCGAACCGGCTGGGTTGCCGGGTTCGTCCTTGATCACCGAGAAGCTCTCGGCCATGTTGGCGTAAAAGGTTCCTCCGCTGATGCCATTGGTCACCGCAGTCATGGCTGGAGCGGCTGGCATATTGTTGTTGGGAGTTGGATTGACGGCCGGCAAAGCCTGCGAGTTGGTGTGCAGAATCTGTAGAGCCTCCTCGAATCCCTTGCCGAAGGCTTCTTGCTCATCGGTGACGGGACCCGCCTTGGTGGGGAAAACCTTGCCGGGCTGGGGAGTCTGGATGAGGTTGTTCGACATCAGGATCTTCTCCAGATCGGGTGTATTCAGAGTCTTGGCCTGCAGATCCGGTGAGTTAATGACCAACGGCGCAAAGATCCGCTTGTTCTTGGCACCTTTGCTGTTCAGATCCAGGGAACCGGGACGCTTGTTGGGATTGGGGGTGGATGTGAGGCCCGGGGTTTGAAAGTCCAGCGACATGGGGGCTCCTTCTTCTCCAATGGGCTCTGTTTTCGGTACGATCTGCAAGGCAGTTGCTCCGGAACTGCCAGCATTCAGGTTGCTCAAATTCGCAGCAGCGGAAACGGGGGTTTTCATGTTTGCCCTGACAATGACGTCAAACTGATTTCAGCGAACGAGTGAGAGAAAAACAGAAAACAGTCTGATAAAAACTTGTTTCGCGATGAGTCATGCGAATAACTCGCGCTTCTTCTTACTCACCAGAGGGTGGGAACTTTGGGTCGCGAAATGTGATTAAAGCAAACTGTACTTTTGTGTTTGCTGGCTTGTGTTTCACCACTGTTTAATCTCTTGTTTAATCTGTCACTTCCGCTTGGTGTTTGCCTTACTTGGCTTAGTTTATTTATACAAATATTTATTACGCGCAGTTGTTTTTAGAGTGGCTGCTTTTTATTTGCGGTGGACATCAATCGATTGGTAAATGGTGTGGAGGCTAACTCCACTAAGTCAGGATGGTGTACACGCTAAGTATGTATTCGATTATTGCGGAGTGTGTATTAACTACAAGTTAAGAAATATTCATTAACTATCGATAATGGAGAATGTATATGTAGAGTGGAGTGCCCTCGTTTTTTTAAGCTTGGACTCAAACCATATTTTATAATTTGCTTATGACATGGGCAGCACTGGTTATTGCAGTTGAATAGCAATGACTTAACCCATTTGTGCATTTAACAATACTAAATTTTAAATTCAAATCTTTGCCGCCAATCATGAGAACAACAAAAACACAATAACACTTATTTGTAAATGAGATATTTATTTTTTAGATAATTGTTAAAAAGCACCAAGAAAAACGTGAAGCAAGAAAAATTACAGGCATTTCCCCGCTGCTCCAAAACTTCGTCAACCCAAATTAAAAACTTTCTATTTTAGGGATATCCCCGATATATTTATATTCGACATTTATGATAACTGTATAGCAATAAATATTTTCAAATACGGCTTGTTTTGTTTTGTTTTTCAAACTGTAGCATATACATCAAGTTCAAATATATATATTCGTTTATGTAAATACATTAATAATATTTTGATTTTGCAACCAAACGTCTTGCTGTTGTTCAGATTGGTATATGCTGCCCTAAAAGATTTATACATTTATTTATTAAACTCCTTGTATATTAATAATCACATCTATAGATTTGTTAGAGCTTTAAATATTTGTCTTAGTTATGTCCATTTATTGTAAGCACGTTGAAACACATTTATGTATATGTTCATCTGTAGACAAGTAATGCGGGGAGAGAGAAGTCTCTGATAGTTACTATATAGTTACTCTGGATGTGGGATTCGCAGAGATAGTTCCTCGGTGTAGGCTAAAATCGATATATATTTATGGTACGCAATTTACCAAGTCAAACCGAATACAGGCATTCTAAATCTAGCGATTACTCTGTAGGACTAGCTGCCAATGTGAGCTCTGCTTTCCATCGAATGTCAAGCGAATTAAATTACTTAAAAAGCTGGTTGTGGATTAATAACTTGTATGTTTTGATTACGCATATGTTTGTTTCGATTATGATCACGTTTGTACACTTAAACATCCATAAAACTTGCATATACGTTTCGAAAAATGTCATTTCACACCGAACATTTAAAACGAAATAAATCGGGCCTCGATCGGGCGCCCACTGCGATGCACAGAATCGAAATTGTATATATATATATATATGTATCTCTTTAGGTATCTGGTAAACTCTAGTTGGCTGCTGCCGCCTTTTAGGGCGAACAGGAAAATCCATCAAAATATTATGTCTTTATATGCGACTATTTAGTTTTGAATCAATCGTTTGATTTTTGCTAGTTCAGCTTGGTTTGTATTTTCTTTTTTTGGGCTCATATTTTAATCTTCTCTCTCTGGGTTGCATTACCGGTTTTTTCAATTTCAATTTCAACTTAGATTTTGGTTTTTCTTTTTAAACGCACACAAAAAGACGTTAGGAAAACGCTGGGCGGCAGTCTGCAATAGTCCGCTTATAGCCCGATCTCCCGCATCGCCCTGTACAAGCAGGGGTTCTTCAAGCACTCCCGCGGTCCCAGCTGCCGGCCGGGGGATCCCCGCAGGATCATGAGGATGGAGCGGGCCGCCGACTGGCACTCATTGCTGTCGCCGCAAACGCCGTCCGCCTCCGCCAAATACTGATAGTCGCAGGCCACCTGCGAGGCACCCTGTAAATTACAATTTTAATAAGTATAGAAATACATCTCTTAATTCATAAATACTTATATATATAAATCCTTTAAATATTTTATACTATTCGAATAAAGAGATATTTCCAATTTTGTTTTTTCAGCATTTTACTAGTTTTAAAAAACTTTAGCAGAACAGCTAAAGCTGTAATAGTGGATTATTAAATTGTTAATTTTTAAACCATTGGTTGAGCCAAAGAATTCGAGAGTTTTTTTTACAAATTTCTATACTTTCAGTCTATTCGAAATGGCTTGCCATGTTAGATCTTAATTATCTTCTATATCAAATGAAAGTTAATTTATTATTATTATACACTAGTTAGATGCATAATATTATAAATATTTTTTTTAAATATATCGTAACTTAGAAAAATCAAAATCATTTTAAACCCTTTTAGGGAGATAACTTACACATAGATAGCATATCTGATGAACGCCGCAAAGAGGCAAGAGCTCCTGGTTAATGTCGCCGGAGATCAGGTCAACGCCCCGACAGCGCTCCGCCATCGACTCGATGATGGGGCATTGATTGGAGCCCACGATGTAGTTCTTGTTGCCCAGATAGGCGTCGTTCAGGGTTTCGTAGGGGGTGCTGCCCAGGCTGAGGGCCTCCTCCATGGTGTTTGGCTGCTCGGGATAGCGCAGGTAACCACTGCGCTTTCTCTTCTCCATGTCCTTGGGCGGCTTTGCATCCCTTAAGGAATATGAGAAGGATAAATTAAAGTCCTATTTTTCATCTATAAGTAAACTTACTCTGCAGGATCCTCTGCCTGCTCCTTCTTCACCGACTTCTTGGCCTGCCAGTAGTTGGAATCCAAGGCGTTCTCCTCCGATTCCGGTTCGATGGCATTGTGCATCAGGTGATTTTCGTTCTCCACCGATTTCCGGAGTCTGTCTAAGGCACGACGCATCTTCTCCAGACTGTAAGCGGTGGCCAAGCGGGAGAGGACATGATCCTTGATCCTGCGAATGTCCTCCTTGCTGTTCAGACCTTCGTGCGCACCCGTGTACTTGATGGTCTCGTCGATGATGAAGTCCTCGATGGACTGCAGCTTCCTGTCCATGCTGTCCAGTTTCTCCACATCGAAATCAACCTTCCTTTTCTCCGCCTCAGAACTCTCATCCTCGTTGTCGTCATCATTGTTGGTGCTGCTGTCCGAATCGCTGCGTTTCTTGAGTTCCCTATGTAAATATAAAAGCATTTTTATACACGTTACTCGTAGAGTAAAAGGGTATATTGTATTCGTGCAAAAGTATGTAACAGCTAGAAGGAAGCGTTTCCGACCCTATAAAGTATATATATTCTTGATCAGGATCACTAGCCGAGTCGATCTAGCCATGTCCGTCTGTCCGTCTGTCCGTCTGTCTGTCCGTCTGTCTGTCTGTCTGTCTGTCTGTCTGTCTGTCCGTATGAACGCTGAGATCTCGGAAACTATAAAAGCTAGAAGATTAGCATTTTGCATGTAGATTTTAGAAGTTCCTACGCAGCGCAAGTTTGTTTCAAAATGGTGCCACGCCCCCTTTAACGCCCACAATCGCTTATATACGATTTTAAAAATTTAAATATTTCGGAAAAGTAAAAATGCAGTTTTATTGTGTTTATCAATACCTATCGAAATGTAGAAGAAATTTTTTAAATCGGACCATTCGTTAAAAAGTTATGCGTGATCAAAGTTTCTGTCTCCATCTCCCTCGCACTCCCTTTACCTGAGTAACGGGTATCTGATAGTCAGGGCACCCGACTATAGCGTTCTCTCTTGTTAGTTATGTATCCCTATAAAAATATTAAATATTCATTATTCAACTAACTCATTTTTCTGTGCGGACTTCTTCTTGCGATCTAAACCAAAGTACTGCGACCAATCGATGGACTTCTTGGCTCGGAGCATTAGATGACCCACGGTGGGGGCATGCAAATGCTTGGATGTGCCGGATAAACTGGCAGCAGCGCGCTTCTTCTTGCGCCGTCGCTCCTCCGCATCCTCCGCCTCCAGGTCACCCTCACCGTCCTCCTCGTCGAACTCATCATGGTCATCCTCATCGGAGCTCTCCTCGCCCTCCTCGTCGTGCTCGTCCGCCTCCGGATCCTCGACATTCTCGCCATGCGCGTGATCACTGCGTTTCCTATGTCGATACTCGGGTGACATTCCCGGCACCACATGACCGCCGTGATGGCCGGCATGTCCGCCATGTTGCACCATTTCCCCAGTTCCCGGGGGCGCTGGAGTGGGCGTGTCCTTGGTGGTGACATTCACCCGCTGGAAGTTGATCTCCAGACGCATATCACCCAGTGCGGTGGCCGTGGCTGGCGCGGATTCAGGTTGATGGGTGGTGGCCTTCGACTGATCCTCCGCCGATCGCTTGCGTTTCTCCTCGGGATGTGACTTGCTATCCCCGGGCTTGCCGAACAGTTCACTCAGCTCCTGGGCCACTCGCTCATCGGTTCTGCCCAAAGGGGAGTCCGAATTGGAGCTGGTGGTGCTCCGCTTGGCCACCGGGAAGCGCTTCCTCTTGTCACCATTATAAGGGAGCCATGGAAGAACCGGATAGGAACGCTTCTTCTGCATCAACAGGTAATACGGGGGCACTCGCATGCGCTTCTTCTGCTCGAACAGTTCGGCATCCTGTGGTTCCGGCTCCTGCGGGCTCTTGGCCTGGTCCAGGTGGCGCCACCACTGACGCACTGCATCCCGATCCCTGGCTTCCTCGATCTCGCGTAGAAACTGCTCCGTCAGCTCATTGTGTGCGGGCTCTGCATTCAATGGCTGGTTCTCACGCTCACGGAAAGCCGAGGGAACGGGTCCATCTGGAAGAGATTGGGGGTGAAGAGGATGTCAAAGATGCAGCTCTATGGTTTACAGAATGTATTAACCAATAATTTGGCTTTAAAAACACATAGGTATTGGATAAGTAGTTCTTATAACTTTTTTTGAATACAATATTTGCATTAAACATTTGTTAAATTGATATTGAAGAGTCCTTTGCTTGAAATACTCTTCATAAACTTTATTTAATATTAATTGTTAAATAGCTAAAATATATATAATTTAATGAATCGAAATATATTTTAAAAAATGATTGGTTTTAGAACAAATAATGATGTAAAGTTAAGTCCAGTCAACACACAAAAAAAAATCATACATACATACATCATAAATAATCTAGTTAATTAATGGAAAATTTAAAATACAAAAACTTAAAGATAAAACACCCCATCGCTCGACCTAAAGTTTAATAGCCCATCTCTCTTCAACTGAATTTTCCAAGATAAAGTGCTATTAAAATGTTTTAAAAACCTGGAAACCTCGATGAATAGTTTCACCAATCATTGAGAAATGACTTCAATTTGACCTTGGAAAAACAAGGCTAAGGAATAGAGACTGTCGATAAATCTTAGCCGTGCGTGTTGTGTGAGGGGCATGCATCAAGTTGTTGGGCCGGCCATTAAATCAAATGACAGGAAGACAGGCGGCATCTGTCGGTTCTGGGCCGCTTCCAGTTGATTGCATTCATCATCGGGACTCTGGAGCAACCCCGTCCTCCCACTCGCCACTCACAAGTTAATCGGAGCTAAGTGGTTTTAGCCAGGCCATTGTTGGCCTTATCCACTCCACACTCCCACCATCGAGTGGCCTCAAGTGGACATGCTCGCCAGCACACATAGATAGCCACAGTTTGGGTCAGGATGATAGCACTTAAGGCTTAGACCCATAAATTATTTTCGGTGATTCGCATTCAAAAGGAGCCACTTGAGTGAGGTGCTAAAAACTGTCCATTAGTGTGGTTTTCCATCAAGCTTTTCTTAAAAGGATTGTTCTTAAAATTCGGTGTGCATCTCATAAGAGCTTTTGCCTTACACTCAACATAAAATTATTGGAATCTCATATAATCATTATTTGATTGAAGAATTTAAAAATATTTATATCTTTTTCAGTAAGGTTCTGCAATTAATTGTAATTGCAATTAGGAATTTTTAAAAGACAATAATGCCATTGACTTTTATTTAATATTATTGTTTCAAAAATGTAAATTTAAGTATTCAAATGAAAAAGATTAAATTGCAAAAACTTATTTTTGTCTCAACATTTTTTTAAAATTGATTCTAATTGTTTTTTAAAATGTAATTTTTACTAATGCTACAAAAGGTATTGTGATACTAACATAGCTAAAAATTTATAAAAAAGAAAAAAAAAATTGTTGTATATACATACAAACATGGTAATACATTTCTTTGCACATGTTATATAAGATTTAAAAAAATTTGATTAATAAACAAAATCATATAGGTATTCGGGATAATAAACTAAACTAAAATTCCATAACACAGGTACTAAAAAAATAATGTGTATACTCAAAAGGCACTTATAATACACCAGTAAAGTTAACTTTTTTAATTGGTATACAACATTTGTAGATGCAGTGCTATTTAAAGGACCTTCATAGTGAGTATCCATTTCCGAGTGCGTGCTTTTGTGTGCTGTAGTTTTTACTTACCGAACTGCTCGTCGCGTTCCCGAAAAGAAGAGAAGCGCTTTCTCTTCTCATCGGCCAGCGGCAGATTGTTCGCGCCCAAGTCGCCTCCGTCCTCCAATCCCAGTCCCAATCCCAGACCCAAGCCCAATCCCAGGTTGTGATCCGGACCGTAGTTGTCCTCGTCGCGTTCTAAGTACTTGCCAAGTGCCTTATTAACTCGATGGCGATTCCGATTCCTATTCTTGCCAAATAAATCGCCATCTGTGCGGGATTGGGTTTTGGTGAGGTGAGGTGGTGTGGCCAAAAGAGAAAAGAAACGAAAACGAGGAAAAGTAAGAACGGTGAACATGTGACTGTGACTGTGAGGGGGAAATCCGGAAAATCCGGAAAATCTGTGCTTAGGGGTCGGCTATCCAAGGCACGTGCACTCCACATGCGGGTCTACCTCTACTCTACTCCCTCTTCACCTCCTCCATCTGCTTGGGATGGATATCACTTTCAGATTTCGGCCACGACTTGCGCTTATATAATCTCGATACATGCAGATGACAGCCCATCCCAAAACCCAGTCACATAAATCAAATAATATTATTATTTCAGCATATGTATCTAGAAATTGGCATATGGATGAAGGCTGCATAGTTGTACACTAGTAACAAGATTATTCTGGCTCAAATATAAATATTTTCTATAGATTTTATAAGTGACATGTTCTTAGCATTCTGGTTTTTAAGTCATTCTAAGTTTTGTACTGTACTTTAAACTTGAACATATTACCGGATGATTTTGAACTATGTATTTAAACAAGACAGCGGACTTAGCACACTTATAATACTTTTTAAGATAAATAGACGTAAAGGTGATTGCTCAATCAACAAAACTTTTTGAAGTTATTTAATGACATTGTTTATAATAACTTTGCCTAACTTTAGGCAAGTAAAGTTATGCATTTTAGCATGAACAGCCTTAAACAATCAATTAACCAACTATAAAGTTCTAGTTTCGTTTAACCAAAGCAAGATAACAAGTCAACAAATACAAGGGATGGCTTAAATATTGATATACCAAATACAAAAATAAATAAGAGTGTCTAAGAGGTGCCGCCCTGCGTTTACTTGAAGGTTAATCAAAGTTCAAATTTCTTGGGGGAATTGCTTGATTAACTTATGCCAGTTAACGTGTGCGCAAAGGTGAAGGTCTCCAATTTATTCCCAAGGGAAACCAATTTCCCGGCAAGATTCAACCACCCCTCCCCCCTCACCCCTACTCCCCCCTACTCACCTTCTTCCCAGTCATCTAGAGAGGGTGGTGGAGGGGCGTTCAGCGGGTACTTGGCCGCCTCCCGCCGATGCAGCTCATCCACGGCCGCCTGCAGCGAAAAGGCGGCGGTGCGCTGCGGACTCGCCTGGATGCACTGCACCACCGCCAGCAGCAGCACCACCAGCGCCGTTAGTGGGACCAGCGAGGTGGCACCACCGGGGCCTACAATTCGGTTGGCCATTGGACTCGCTAGCAACTGCCTCCCACTCACTCGAAAATTTGGTTTTAAATCTGCAAGTGTAGAGGGGAAAATTGGTATCAGCATCTCGGTAAATTATAACTTGATTATAATGAAATTTTATTAGAAAACCATAAAATTGATTTAGCTGCAATCAAATGATTTATGCTTATTTATCGCCTCTGTTAAACTAAGCTAATTGGTGTTTATTATAGAGTTTTATTAAACAAATTTAATGAATGTTGTATAAGCATATGGCTATAGATTGATTAAGAGATATTATTGATGAGTTTGCTTAACAAATTAAAACATAACATTTTTTCAACAAGGTAATTTAAATTTATTATAAATAATAAGTTATATCATCCTTTTTTTCTAAAACGTTCTTACATAATAAATCAGGAAAATGATTACAACGCTTTATCAATACAAAAAGCATTGTTGCCTTACATAAAACGTTTTTTTTCAGCGAGTGAACACAAAAGCCAAAGGAAAAAAGGTGGCTTAGAGTTGAAAAAAAAGCATTAAACTGGTTTTAATGCGCGACACGTTTCCGACAGGTGCGTAAAAAACTTTTAATTACATTTGCACTTTAAAGCGAGGTCCTTTCCGTGCAAGTGTGTGTGTGTGTGGCAGAGTGTGGGTGGGGTTTTTGTTGGTATTTGTGAGTGTGTATCAGGTGTCATCTTCTCGCGGCCACTTGATGGCGTGTGAAATTCCATATTTCGCCGCTTAATTATGCAAACGAGCAGCTGTTCCCCGAAATTCCGGACTGCAAAAGGTATTTGAATACTCCGCCCATCTCATCAGACTAACTAATGAAGCAAATCCCTCAGCCTCATGCATATACAAAGGATCCCGGCCCATATATAAATCAATAAAATTCCAATGTGCCTGCAAATACCCAGCATCCTTGGCGAAATGGAGGGGGAAAACTTCATCGGAGCACTTTTACCCAGCATTCTTGGCCGCTGACAAAAGCCAAGTTGACAATTATGGGAAAGTTGAATTGCTGCTCGGATGCCAACTGCCATTGAAATGCTCATCCCGTCTCTATTTCTCCGTTTCTCTTCAGTTTTTCTCGGTTTTATGGTGACGCACATAAGTATGCTACGCATTCCTTAGAAAAGAATATATGCCTTGGAAGGAAAATATATGGTAATCACATTGCCACTGCCACTTCCACACCCACTCTCACACCCACTCCCACTCGGCTCCATAGTTCTTTCCACTTATCTCGTACCTGTGGCCACGTTTTTTATTTATTTTTTTTTTCTTTTCATTTTCATTTTCCCCCCATTAAATGTCAAGGCAGCCGTCGCTTTTCATTCGACGTTCTTTGGCTTTTCCTGCGCTTTTCTATGGCCACTCCCGCTCTGGTGAAGAACCCTATTTGCGTCTCGCCTGCAGCTGTTGGTTCGCTTTTGCCCCTTTCATTGTATTATTGCTGCTTGGCTGGTTTTTGTCTAAGAAAACGAGTCCCCCAGTTGTTGATGTTTTTGTGTCTGCTCCTCGGCTCTAATCCAGATTAAACGCAGCTGCATAAAGGAGATTTCATTTTCCCTCAATTGCAATAGTCTCGCAAGGGACTGTTCTGCTGCCTGTTGCTCGGGGTGATGCGGTACCAATATCTGAAGCCATCGTCTAGCTTACAGAAAACTTAAATTGTTAAGGGACATTATAACTTAACCTTCTCAAAAGAAAAGTGAAAAACTTAGATTCTATTATTGGTAGCTTTAAATTCTGGATCCTTTTGGTTAGGGTTGTCTTCAACACTTTTACATGTGTAACTAATATAACAATTTTTTTAATTTTCAATCTTTCATAAATGGCTAAGGAATTATTATAATATTTATTGTTATACTTTAACTATTGCTGCAGAGTTTCTTATTAACAGAGCTTAAAAAAAGTATAATACTTAAACAAAGTATTATATCACTACTAATTAAACAACTAAGTAAACAAGTGCTTTAATTCCACAAAGTTTAATAAATAATTATTAAAAATAGAGTCTTTTTGCAATGCTAACTTTCTTTAAAATCTTTTTTACATTCGAGCTAACGCAGTTCAGAAGTTGTTTGATTAATAGTTTGAGTGGCGAACAGGGCGTATGATTAATGTAAACGTTAAACTTAAAAGTTGAAGCCCACACTATACCAGCGCAGATTCCTGTGATTCAAGGAAATGAAGCCCTAAGTTATTAAGGGTAAGGGAACAACGGCTCACATCTTGAGTGTCGCACGGGGCGTATGATTAATATTGATTGATGCCGCTGTCGGGTTAGGTTTCCCTACATCAAACGATAGAGTCAGTGGTAATAATTTATTGAGTTTCCGTGGAGCAGGCGCTCTTTCTCGCCAATCAGATTTCCAGAGCGAACAAATGCGACCCAGCAGGGCATTTAAATTAGCGCCCTAATTGAATTTGTCGCAGCAACCATGGATACTACTTCTCTACTACAGACATACATTTATCCATGGGTCGTTTTGCGCCAGGAAAAAAAAAAGATCCTTTTGGGGAAAATTGGGCCAAATTGAATCGGGCTTTTTGCCGGCGACTAAGTGAATGCATTCTGTCAGCAAAAGGAAGCGGCTAATTAGGGGGCCGGGAAAAGCTTTTTGGCTTAAAATATTTAAAGCCAACGAAGTAGATGTCCCGTCCTCGGGAAAGTCACCAACTTGTTAGCCAACTTTTTGCGAGCATGTGTATGTATCAGTTGTTCAGGAAAATGCCCGAGGTATTTTGTCAACAGGCCAACAAACAATTCATCAGCTCCATTGTCCAATTAGTGAATAAAGCGAGTTGCAAATAAATTGTACGCAATTATTTTGGCTCTGGCTTTTCCTCCCACACACAAATATAAATACATTTATATATATATATATACACACACGCCCACCAGCGAAATCAATGGAAATGGAAAATCCTGTGCAGCATTTTGCGTAATTTTCCCCCCACACACAAACACTGGCCGAAAAGTTTGCACTTTTCTCAACTCACTTGGTTTGATTTGACTTTTGTTGTTTGTTTTCGCGACGTTCGAGTGCAGTTTTCCGTGTGAATTTTTCACTATTTGCCAGACACTTTTCACAACATGGCGTCACGCCTACGCCAACACCATAAAGGAAACGCTCGTCGCTGCCAGCCAGTTAGCACTGTACCTGTACCCACCTCTGTGCTCAGCCAAGGCGGAACCAAGAGTGTCGGCCAGTCTGCGGAGCTTCCTCGTTTTATACAGGACCCACGAGGGCCGACAGGATGCGAAGCTCGCCGAGAGAGCCTTTGTCCTCGTGAGTGGGAGTTGGTATGTGCAAAAAGGGGCGGACATCGGAAAGGAGGCTTAGCGAGAGAGAGAGAGAGAGAGAGAGAGAGCCGCTAGGAGCTTTCAGCTGCAGCCAAGCTTCGTTCAGAAAGAGATGGGAACAGGCTGAAGATGGCCAAAACTTACACCGGAAAAATATGGTACTTCAAATGAACTCATGTGGGGGATTTTCTATAGCAATTAGCAATGTGTTGCTAAAATAGACCTTTATATTTTTGCAACATAAAAAGTTCGGTATGCTTCCGAAATATGCCATCTTGTACTTAAAAGTTGGAAAATTGGCGATTTAAAAAATTGTTCTATTTCAAACAATACGGATAATTAGAATTTCCTTGCAGATGGTATTATTGAATTTCAAATTTTTGACCCATTTTCATGTTATTTATTTCTTATTTTCCGATGTCTTGGAAAAGAGTGACCCAAAATTGGACTTCGAGAGGCCATAACTTTGCCAAACTTAATCCGATTCCTAAGTGGCATACCTCTAAAGACTCGTGATTTGATTCTCTAAAAATCTGCATTCAAAATTTTCAATTTAGCGTTTATCAAATTTTGAACCCATTTTCATGTTAGTTATTTCTTAGTTTTCGATGACTTGTTTTAAGTTGACCCAAAATTAGACTTCGAGAGGCCATAACTTTGCCAAACTTAATCCGATTCCAAAGTGGCATACCTCTAAAGACTCGTGATTTGATTCTCTAAAATTCTGCATTCAAAATTTTCAATTTAGCGTTTATCAAATTTTGAACCCATTTTCATGTTAGTTATTTCTTAGTTTTCGATGACTTATTTTACGTTGACCCAAAATTGGACTTCGAGATGCCATAACTTTGCCAAACTTAATCCGATTTCAAAGTGGCATACCTCTAAAGACTCGTGATTTGATTCTCTAAAAATCTGCATTCAACATTTACAATTTAGCGTTTATCAAATTTTGAACCCATTTTCATGTTAGTTATTTCTTAGTTTTCGATGACTTGTTTTCCGTTGACCCAACATTGGACTTCGAGAGGCCATAACTTTGCCAAACTTAATCCGATTCCAAAGTGGCATACCTCTAAAGACTCGTGATTTGATTCTCTAAAAATATGCATTCAACATTTTCAATTTAGCGTTTATTAAATTTTGAACCCATTTTCATGTTAGTTATTTCTTAGTTTTCGATGACTTATTTTACGTTGACCCAAAATTGGACTTCGAGATGCCATAACTTTGCCAAACTTAATCCGATTTCAAAGTGGCATACCTCTAAAGACTCGTGATTTGATTCTCTAAAAATCTGCATTCAACATTTACAATTTAGCGTTTATCAAATTTTGAACCCATTTTCATGTTAGTTATTTCTTAGTTTTCGATGACTTGTTTTCCGTTGACCCAACATTGGACTTCGAGAGGCCATAACTTTGCCAAACTTAATCCGATTCCAAAGTGGCATACCTCTAAAGACTCGTGATTTGATTCTCTAAAAATATGCATTCAACATTTTCAATTTAGCGTTTATTAAATTTTGAACCCATTTTCATGTTACTTATTTCTTAGTTTTCAATGACTTGTTTTACGTTGACCCAAAATTGGACTTCGAGAGGCCATAACTTTGCCAAACTTAATCCGATTTTAAAGTGGCATACCTCTAAAGACTCGTGATTTGATTCTCTAAAAATATGCATTCAAAATTTTCAATTTAGCGTTTATCAAATTTTGAACCCATTTTCATGTTAGTTATTTCTTAGTTTTCGATGTTTTGGAAAAGAGTGACCCAACATGGGACTTCGAGAGGCCATAACTTTGCCAAACTTAATCCGATTCCAAAGTTGCATACCTCTAAAGATTTGTGATTCAATTCTCCAAAGATCTGCATTAAAAATTTTCAATCTAACGTTGTTCAAATTTTAGACCCATTTTCATGTTAGTTTTGTGTTAAAATCTTGCAGACGAAATTATATTTTTAGTCAAAAGTTTGCAACGCAGTAAAGGGCACATCTCTGAAAATTCAAACCAAATCCAAATTAAAAGTATAATGCGATTAAAAGTAAGGCAAATAAATATCTAAGTATGTTCCGATTTTGATTCGAACTTGTTACTTGTTTCTTTCACCTAGTTTCCAATCTGTCATACATAAGTTTATATATATTGTGTTTTTTTATTTTTGCTTATTACTTTTTTAACTGAATATGTCGGCTGCCGTGCAGTTTATAGTGGGCCTAATCGCCGCCTTTGGAGCCTTTTGCCTGGGCGCCGTGATCGGCTGGTCGGGACCCGCGGAGGAGGAGATCAAGGCGGAGGTGGCCTACAGCTTCGCCCCCGATACGGCGGAGTGGGGTCTGGTTGGATCCCTGATGACGCTGGGAGCGGCCTGCTCCTGCATCCCGGTGGGCTACCTCATCGGCAAGATCGGACGCAAGGTGACGATGCTCTGCCTGCTGCCGCCCTTTGTGATCGGCTGGCTGCTAATCATCGCGGCGGTGCACATCTCGATGCTGTTGGTCGGACGCTTCATTGTGGGATTCTGCGGTGGTGCCTTCTGCGTGGCCGGTCCCATGTACACCACCGAAATAGCCGAGATCAAGTATCGCGGCATCATGGGCTGCTTCTTCCAGCTGCTGATCGTCCACGGCGTCCTCTACTCGTTTGTGGTGGGAGCCTTTGTGAATACCCTCTACTTGAGCATTGCCTGCGCCATTTTGCCCGTGATCTACTTCCTGATGTTCATGTGCATGCCCGAGTCGCCAGTTTATTTGGCTCAGAAGGGCAAAACCGAGCGGGCGGAGAAGGCGCTGAAGTTCCTGCGTGGCAAGGATGTGGATGTGAGTGGCGAGCTAAAGGATGCGGCACTCGATAGCCAGAAGGAGAAGACGAGCATTGGGAAGACGCTGTGCCGCAAGGTCACGCTCAAGGGGCTCTTCCTTTCCATTGGACTGATGATATTCCAACAGTTTACGGGAATCAACGCGATCATCTTCTATACAACATTCATCTTCACGTCGGCGGGATCGTCGCTGGAACCACGTTTCTCTACGATTATCGTGGGGGTGGTGATGGCCAGCTCCACCGTGGTCTCGATCTTCCTGATCGAACGATTGGGTCGCAAGATGTTGCTGCTGATCTCGTCCTTCATGATGGGCGCCAGCACCCTGACCATGGCCCTGTACTTTGGCCTGCTCCTGTCCTCGGATGTCGGCTGGCTGGCCCTCATAGCCATCTGCATTTTCATCATCGGCTTCTCCTTTGGCTTTGGTCCTGTTCCCTGGGTGATGATGGCGGAGCTGTTTGCGGAGGATGTGAAGGCCCTGGCTGGATCGATTGCGGGAACCACCAATTGGTTGAGTGCCTTTGTCGTCACTTTGCTGTTTCCCGTGCTGAACGAGAAAATCGGAGCCACTGCGTGTTTTGGAATTTTCTTTGGCTTCGCCGTTTGCGCCTTTTTGTTTGTACTCTTCCTGATCCCCGAGACGAAGGGCAAGACCCTCAACGAGATCCAGGCCAAGCTGGGTGAGAAGAAGGAGTAGTCTGCTTGGGATCAGGAAATATGAATTTCACCTCCTTACTTCAGAGATCTCCAGATATAGATCTTTGATAAATTTTTGACTAGTCATGTAAATTTTTAAGTTTATAAGGTTTTCAAGAGCAGCAAGTGCTGAGAATGAGGAATATGTACCAGTGCCTAGATGGACAATTCATCATGCCTAGGATAATAATGTCCGAAGTACCAATGCCTTAAATGACAATGTATAGTCGGCGCATCTCGAATCCCTTTGGATCAAAGTATCCTGTTAAATCACTTCATTTTAATGTACAAATTTTACCTTTTTGATAGAGGAATTTAAAAATTATTTTGTAAAATGTGCGTTAGCACACCTTTTTAAGGCACTTTCGTCAGTATTAAAATTTAAATATTTGGATGGAACAACCACAGTTTTATTTTCTAGCTTATAAATAACTTTTAGCTCAATACTTAAGTCTGTTAATATATCAAAAGTGCACTTTTCCGACATAATCGGCGTATGTGCCACCTGTTGAATTTGACTATTTAAGTGACTGTACTGCTGACTTACCATTCTGGTGCAGCTCGGTCCTTGCAGAATCAAAAAACCAAAACTACTCAGGCCACGGAAAGCCAAACCGCACTTCACCGAAACCAATAACGAACTGCAAATGAGCTGGCTTTGTACCCAAAATAAATGCACTTTGATGGCGGATGCAATCAGATAGTAAATAGCAAATAGCCAGGTAAATGGGCAAAAGCTTCCCGCCTGACAGTCTGCCATTTCCCCAGCGGAATCGAAACTTCGTTCGCTTTTCCGGCCACTGCGCATGGCCAGGAACATGTGATGGCTGCAGCTCCAGGCCGAAAGCACATATCTATTCCGGGAACGAACTGTTGCTCTCGCATCATCAGGACCTGGGTCTGCATGGGCCACCTGTTACTCCGTCCGCTCGCAAGTCGACCAGCACTCGCTTGACAATAATTTCCGCCGTTGGCCTTTCCACTATTGATATTAGGTATTTGTGTTTGAGGTGGATGAAAATGGAAAACATCACACTTATATTGCATTACTCTGCATGAATTTTTGCAGATTGTAAAACTAGAAACCTATTTAAATTTAGACTCTTACAATCTCGGACTTTAATGGTTTGCCCCTCTTTAGGCACATTCCACCTTTTACTGTTTTATAATTTTTAGTCCTGTTGAATTCATTTCTTAATTAATAGTCAATATAACGTTTGTAATGTCTTTAATGAATTTTATTTTATCACACTTTACGTACAAAATTTGGGATATTGCTTGAAAAATAACACTAAATAACATAAATTCCTTTACCACAGGTCGTATGAGTTATTTTCAAGGAAATTCTAAGAAAATAAAGCTTTTCGAAATATAACTCATACGACGTGTTTTCTTATAAAATAACCCTAAATAACATAAATTCCTTATTACCACAGGTCGTATGAGTTATTTTCAAAGAAATTCAAAGAAAATAAAGCTTTTCGAAATATAACTCATAAGACGTGTTTTCATATATATGATTACATTCAAGGTAGACACCAATGATAATCTGCAAATGCTGCTGACAAATTAACTACAAGGCATAATGTGTGCTATTCGAAAAATCAAGCTTATAACAATAAAGCTTTTTTGTAGATACATCCTAATGTGCATGCATGATTTATTTACACTTGTATGACTGTACTGATGACTGTACTTTTGGCCCATATGAATCTCCAATCGCAGCTGCAGCGCACCAGCAATCAAGTTGACGTCAATCCCGTCCAACGTTTCCCCTCCATGTGGTGTCCAACTGTATGAATTCCGGGAAACGAGGTGGTTGGTGTCCAGATACCCAAAAAGGAAGGGGAAATCCGGAACTCGGTGCTCTGCTTCGGTTTCCATGGCGATGCTCCAGTTGTTGCCCAGGCCAGGACACCAAGATGCTGCACTGCAGCTTCCCGTCCGGATATTATCTAGCTGCAATGCAATTCATTTGCCCTTTGACAAAATTCTTTTTACAATTTTTAATATGGACCACCGTAAGCTGGAATTTCTCTTTAGAAATCTGTAAACAGGCAGCAGAGTAATATTCTTCTAATCCCCTTTCAGATTTAAAAATAAAACTATAAGCTCATCAAAGCTGAGTTTTGTATAAGAAGCTTAAAACTGAACTGTGAAACAGAAATAAAGTCAAGTTCACAATCATATAGAAGACATTTCTCTTAAGTTAAACTACATTTTTATTCACTTTTTCGTTGTACAGTTAAAGTTGAAGGAGTATATACAAAATAAATATGATTTTTGTGCGATTGCGTGATTCGGATTGAGATTAGGTTATGAGTGACTAAGACTAGGGCTACAAACTAATGGATCCACGCTGTCGATGAATCGCATTCACGAGCAGTCGCAGGGACTACTAAAGCTGAAACTGGCATTTCTGTCCAGGAATAATCTCTCGTATTTACACCTTGAAGATGCCAAAGTAGCTTCGATTGTTCGCCTCCCGCAGAACGACATTGCGATCGTTGTGAATGTCCTTCAGGTGGATTCTCCCGTTTCGCTCCAGGTAGATTAGACCACTGGTGTGACACGTGTGCACCTTGTGGGGCATATTGGTGGGCACAGTGTTCAGGCACTGCAGGAAGGGTGAATCTCCGTGGAAGACGATGAACCCGTTCTGGTCGTGCGAATTATTATAACATATCTGGGCGTATACGTAATATAGGCCCGGATTGATGACTGTCAACACGCCATCGTGCGCTTGAAAGTGTCCTTCATATGAGTTCTTTGCGTTATCATTTCCAATGTACATGTCTCCATGATAGCCTGGAAAATGAAAGTTGATTAGTTAATTATATATAAGAGAGCTTAGGCATCCCCTTACCCATATTCCCCATGTGACGCTTCCTGCTACTCAGGTGAAAGTGGGCGGCTGGCCTCGAGTTCTCGGATCTGGCTGAAATAAGAGATTCACCTGCAAATTAACAGAGGAGCAAATAGAGGTTTGGTTTTTTTTCTTTGCCAATTGATTCTGTTTTCTTGACTACACACCTTTGCGGGTTAAGAGCTGACGTCGGCGGGAATGCGTCTTGCGTCGGTGGTGAAGTGAAGTGGAGCTGCAGTTACAAAATATAGTTTTAATTGTGGTTAATTTATGTTTTCGGCAATTAAAAAAATATCTAATTAACTTAAACTTTATTTAAAATCAGTTTATTTATTAACTTTACAAATTAAAGTGTTTTTGATCATAGGAAAGTATTTTATACAAATTTATATAATTTATTGACTTATTTTATTGATCTAAAACATAAATTAAGGTAATTTCTATAGGATAAATATATTAACATATTATTTGGTATTAGTTTCCATTACATGTTTTTCTTATATAGTAAAGGGTTTTATAGAGAAACTTTTTACTCACCTCTCCTTTGAAACTGCCTCCTTGGATTGCTTTTCCTCCAGCTCAGTATGATTTCCATTTATATTCTGCTGCTCATTGCGAGCATCGGCAATTGATCGAGATTTTCTGTTACATTAAACCAATTAAATATCTGTAATCCTAGCAAATCCCAGATATGCTTACCTATCAAGCTTCTTTTTGTGAGCATTATAGCTGGTAAAGTCATCAAACACATTGTCATCACTCGCGGGGAAGGAGGAACTATCCGTTTCGCCATCGCCCTCGGCGGTGGTCTCAGATGAGGGCGTGGTCTGCTCAGTGCTTAAATTGTACAGTTTGGTTATCATATCATGATAGTCATCGGCATCATCTATGGTATCCTCATCCTGGGAGTTATAGTTTTCGTCATCTTCCTCTTCATCTGTAGTAAGATCTAGACCATCGTCATCGTCATCGACATCGTCCTTATCCCCGTCATAGTCATCCGTATAGCCATCGCCCCTTTTCGGATAGTCGATGAGGGCATTCTCATACTGCAAGGAAGAGATGGGGTCAGCATTTTGGGTCAGAACACTTGGACAAGTACGTGACTGCAGCTGCCGCAATCCTGGCACACATTCATTTTTAGACGCACGCCCGCGGCAAAAGCTGTTTCGTCATCATCCTAATTGATGGCGCCTCCCTCAAAAACATATTATATATGCATATATATTTAAAAGCGAACGAACTCTCAAGAGAATCGCATCCACAGATGCCCAGCCATCAAAATATAAATAAATCCTAAAATCTTGAAACGATGTCTGGGCATTAGGCCATTTGACGAGATCCGATCAATCGTCACATAAAACCAATACCAATCGCTCGCCTTGAACGACTATATCTACGGATAGATTCAGATGGTTTTCCTGTATTATTGAGGCTTTCGCCTTGTGTCATTTGGGCATTTGTATCTCATAAATAACATGGACCGGCTGGCGCCTCATCTGCACCAAATGTATCTCATATTTTAATTAAGTGATTCTCTGGGGAAGAGACATTATAATAAAAATAATCTATCACCATTCCCCACAGGCTTTTTGTAAAGCTGTGTGAAAACAGAAAAACAGAATTAAAAAAACAGATGAAAACGCTCTGTATTTATATTTTAGCACATATTTCTATAAATATTTTTGTATGTCCCACACAATAACCACATATATCTGGGACTGTTTTGGGGCATTCTTTTTAAAAAAGAATACAATACCGACTAACAAATACCTTATAAGTTCTTTTATCTCTAAAAAAATGGTACCCTTAAATTTGTTTCATGCTTCACACTTAAAACGCATAAATGTAACAATTTGTACCCCATAGTGATAGCTTACACAATAACAACAAGACAACATACCCCTATTAAAAACTCAAGTACTCGCCTCAGGGAATAACAAAATGATTTCCGACTTTGTAAACAATGCGAGAGATCTGTATTTACCTCAGACAAATGTTACAGCCTGCCCATTGAAAAAGAATAAATATTGGTACAATAGCTCACCTCCTTTTGGAACTCATCGAACTCCTCCAGATAGTTGATGCCCAATCGCTGCTGGAGATGATCGACGACTCGCTTCAGACTCTTCAGCTCCTTGTCCAGATGCGTGATCCGCGTTGTCTGCCAGATCTGGAAGGCAATTCAATTTTTATAGTCTCATCTAAACTCGTTTCTAATCATCCAGTCATTAGCACTTTGGCAATTAATTTAATAAGACTCAATTAAACATCTATAGTTGGTGCTAAGGCCCGGCACATCATATAACACTCAGTGCCGCGAACTTTTGACACCCGAAAAATATAAAAAAAATAACTGAACAAACAGATAGGGGCGAGTCGAGACGAGACGAGACGAGACGAGAGGAGAGAGATTTCGTGAAGAAATATAAGCGGAGGTACCGACATCGCCACTCAGGCACATAATCTGCTTAATGGATCATTAACATTCGGGCCGAGCAGAGACCTTATATACAGACACTTCTCATGTTTCGACTGACACCCGAAATCAAAAAAGAATGCCTCAACTTCAGCCACTGTGCGCAGTGGGTACAAAAAGATACAAATAAAAACTTGTACTGAATTCTTGTATAAATTATGGACAGTACGGCGGCCCAAGAAACTTGTTTGAGGCTCGTGTTTTGGATTTCCAGTAAACCACTTTCCATTAGGGCTTATCGATCGAGCAATCCGTAGATCGATCGCAGCGCCTGCAGTTTGTCACTTTCACATGTGTATGTAGACCCCAGATGATGAGGGTCATTCGTTGAGGTCACTTTGATTGGATGTCAGGATATGGAAGGGGCAGCGAAATTGAATTAAACAAAAACAACAACTTTAAGATTTAACAGAGATTTATGAGGAAAACAAAAGTTATGGCGCACGTCAGTGGCTGAAGCCAATCATTTACAAGTCAATTGACAATTGTACGATTTCCGTTCACTTAAGCCAAAGTTGAGTGGGTCGTGGGGGGATTTCTGGGATGGGGAAGCGGCAGGCTTAGCTCTGGAAACTTAATCGTTGGCAACGCAAATCCGCAATCCAGCGGCCAGAGTCTCATCCAAAGTTATCAGCGAATACATGACCCAACATCCCAGTCGAAGATTTATCGGCTGTGAATGCATAACAGAACACCATTCCCAGTGGCATTTAAATTAGTTCAACAAAAACAAACTGACAACCACAGATAAACATTCTTGTAGCATCTGCATCCGCTTTATTTGGATTAGCTGGATCATTAGGAACCGATTTGGCCTAAAGACGTGTCGGTGATGACATCGCTTGATCAGACAAGGAACCGCCGACTTTTCCATTCTAAATATAGTTTCATGCCAAATTATAGTTAACGTATCTGCGACGGTCACGGATCATAAAATCTGTTTTCATTTCAATTTATGCATCTGGGGAATTTCGTTTTTAATTTGGCATCAACAATGACTTTGTGACAAACAGCAGAAGCGTGCCAGAGGTTAAATATTCATTTTTAGATTGCGATTTCGGGGGTGTCTATATGTGTTTGGTAAAGTCCAATTTGCGTTTATATTTATTCGCAAATTTATTTTGCAGGCTACTGAAATAAACATTTCCGAAGATCGTGGGGTCCGTGATTTAAGTCGGCGCAGAGTCTAGAACGCAGTTCATGGCTAAAGCTCTAAATGGAATCTATCAAGTCTTTGGATCTGGTTTTTAAAAGAAAAGAAATCTAGCTAAGACGGTTTTTAGACAGATAACACGAAAAAGTAAAAGTAATTATTTACCTCTAACTACCAAAAAAAAATACTGTTTTGAAAAATTTTAATAATACTTTTTAAAGTAGCTTAATTTGCTTACTGCAAGATAACAAAAAACAGTCATGATTATAAGTGCTCAACTTCAGCGTTCAAGATAACATTTAACAACATAGCCAATAACGATTCATCCATATCTTTATTCGGGAAAAACACCCACCAATAACTGATATCTCCACACCTTTGGAATTCCAAAGAATCACTGATCGGCACACGGCAACCAAATCATAACAAATAGTTTGGTATTGCCCTATCAATTTGGAAACGATTTATTATAATGGCTTACTTTAAAGTGTGTTTCTATTCTTAATTGATTTTTAATGTGTGGATATTACCATTTTAAACTGTTGTTTATCTACTAAAAGCCATTTTAATAATTATATCGCAATTGATTGTTATTAAGACGTTTTGAACATATAGACTTGCATGGTTCTTCTTTGATATATCATAATTTCTTAATAATTAAGATCTAAAATTGATTATGTAAGACATCTGGTCAAAAAGAATGTGAACGGAGAATTTCAAACTTATATTTTGAATGATTTATGGGGTAGGTCACAAAGATTAATAACCTTTCCCAATATAAAAGTTATTTAGTAGCAAAACGTAATTAAAAATGGTTAACTGAACTGTGTAGATCTTGGAGCGTGATACTTTTAGGGGTATTGCTTGAATTGATTAAGCAAATGGCATTACAAAATCAAAATATCATTAAAATCCCATGAATATTAGTTACTGTAAGTGACAATTCAAATGAGCCATAAAAGCTTTAATTACAGATCCGGTAAACTGCTATATCTTCTAGGGTTAACTCACCGTTAGAGCCATAATGGCGACGACTAGTCCCAGTCCGATGACCCCCAAGACGTAGGGGATCAGCTGGCGGGTGCGGCGCTGGGCGGACGCCGCACTGGTCACTTTGGCCGGAAAACCATCGTTGGCACTTGTTGGTGGAATAAACGGCTTGAGGGTCTCGGCTGTCATAATTGATGAGCGCGGCACTGTGGATCTTAGATCGGCTGGGGCCTCCAGATGCTGATGATAATGACGATCTTGCCCACCCCCACTCAAGGGCACTCGACAGCTGTTCCCACTCGAGCTTTGTCGTTATATACACTATATAAATACAATATATGAACCGACACTAGAAACACTTTTACAGGCAGCTTCAGATAAGCTGCGACATCTATCTACATATGTATGTATATATAGTATAGATAAACCTCTCGGGCTGCTGACTATGCCCTTTTGAGAGATGCTATATTCTTTGTCTAGACGGGCAGATTTTCTTCGGGCTGCTGGGTGTTTTTCCCTTCCGCGATTGGCAATTTGCACAAGAAACTTGCGAGAACGAGTTTTGCGAGATATTTTTCTCGTTTTATCAGTTCTTGTCTCCGATAAAAGCCCAGTAAAACACAACAAGTTGACAGGTTGCACTTATTTTTAGTAATTTGCCCACTGGCGAAATTCGATCTTGGTAGTAAACTGAAACGGTTAACGTTTTTCTGCTCAGCACGCACGCACGCGCTTGATCTTTCTTCGATTTTACCGGTCTTTTTTATAAACGTCCGTTCGCGTCGGCGATTCGAAAGTGAATGAATATGAATTGAGAACTGGAATCGGAAATGAGCGAACGAACGGCACTTGCTTTCTCATGAACGAGCAGGCAGCAAAGAGCGAGGGAGATACATAGATCCAATCAACGCCTCTCCCTCGCTCTCATGTCGAGGATGCGGCCTACTTAAGGGCGCCTGCGCCATTTACTTTGAGTAATTAATTTTTGGCAAGGCTTTCCCGGGGTTGAAGTATTTGTGGTACAGTGGCCACTGGTTACAAGGCTTAAGACAAAAAACCATAATGAATCTGCTTCCTGTTAAAAAAGTGTAGGTTCGAATGGATATTTATATTTGTATTACATTTTATTATTAATTTTAACAAGGAATTTATAAAAACAAATTATTTTTGTAATCTACTTTTATTTGATAACTTATAAAATAAATGAACAGAGTACATATTATTTATCGAAAACCCTTTATTTTATTTGTGGTTTTTAAATTTGTTTTGATAATTTATAAAATTAAATAAATGAGCAGAGTACATACTATGTGTCGAAAAACCCTTATTTTATTTGTGGTTTGTTTTTGATGATAACAGACTGTACTCGATTCCCTATGCAGAATCATGTTCCCCTAAGTACAATTTGGCAATCATAACTACCAAAACTTGTTAAACTTTTTGCGCAGTGTTTCCTACCATTTCTTTTGTTAGTTTTTATGTGTTTTGTGTACTTAAAACCTCCCCCTGGTTTTTAATAGGGGTGGCTTGATTGTTTTTGAAATATACACCACTGTAAGCGGTTAACTTTCACAGCCCTAGGGTTTCTTTTTTGTGTGACTTGCTTTGTTGTGCCCCCTATATGACTCTGGTATTGAACAGATCCCCGATCTTCGATCCCCGAAGCGCAGCTAATTAAATCTCGTATAACGAATGTTTGAAAAAAAACCCACGATAACCTTAGTGAAATTTTAGCATTTCATTAAAATCGTATTTATTATTACTTAGTGCGCTCGTCGGCTTATCAGTGAAATGTCTATGTACGGGTTCTAATTGCGGGAAAAGCAGGGAAGCCATATACCTAATGCTGATCCGATCTGCCACTGTCGCGACAATCTGTCTGTCCGGCCGGATGCCAAATAGATCCGTATCGTAAATCTGACCGACACCCTTAGAGAACCAAGAAAGATGCAAATGCAGGCGATGGTCAGCTAATTAGTTTCGAATCGACGGCGAGGACAGGTAGCCACAGGTAGAAATGTGGCCAAAACAGCGGGGAGCGGAATGGCACGCGAAGTGCAGGTCTCAGGCTTCCGGTGCACCAATTAACCCATTAATCTTAGTAGTTTCTTGATTTATCTGTTTTTACGACAATTAATACTTTTCAGCTAAGAATTTTTCATCCTCAATTTTACTTTGACATTTTATAGAACAAATCTTACAATTGATTTCCTGGAAAACAAAATAAGAAAGCCAAGTTGTATTACTTTTTCTTTAAATTTAGTCAAAACTCCTTTTAGACCCCCATTTTTCTTATAAGGTGCTAAAGTCAATAAACTAATGAGTTAAGGGATTGATTTTGAAAATATTTATAGTCTTTATTGTCAGCTAAACAAATTTATCTTAAAGATACTTTTATTCAGTAATATTCAAGAATATTCATTATTAATAATACAAAAACTTACATGTAATTTGTGAATTCTATAAAACCTTCATCATGATCTATAGACAAGAGTTTTATGTAATTCGAATACCTATTATATAAAATTGTGGCTTGAATTAGAAACGAGCCCCTTTGAAATAGAAATTTATTATCTTGTGTGATTCAGATATATCACATGTTTGTACAGAGGGTTAACAATACCCCGAGACACACTCACTCAAAAGCAAGACGATCTCAAGGCGCTCTTTTCAAAGTCAATGCTGGGCAATTGACGTTGCAAATGTACTGACACACAGTCACTTCTTTATATTCTCCCCCTCTACGTACATTATAAACCCAGAGCTCCACAGCTATTGGGCTTTGTCTGAATCAGAGATATCGGACCCAGAGTGTCTTCCATATTGTGGATTCTTTATGCAAGTCGTTTATCGCGCGATCATCGAAGAAATTTATTAGACAAGCGCCCCAACAGCACCAACGATGCTTGAAATGAATTTCTTGAAAACTATATCTCCGGGCAGTGGCGTATATAGAACTTGGTGAAGGGAGAAGTGTTTCAAAACCAATTTTGTTAGCATATTTTTTTTAACACAACATGTTCTATCATATTTTATTGAAGTGGTGAGGGAGGTTAGCCCCCAAACTATACTGCCTACGCCACTGTATGGGGGGCTGGGTTTTCAGATAGGTTTCCTTCGAATTGATTCGCACTCTCATCAATTTACATTTGGGTGTGTGTTTTTATATGGGTGATGGAAATTTGTTCCGATAATTAATATACGACAAGCCATTATCTGTTTCAACAAAGTGTGCTCAATGTCGGCACGGCAAATGGTAAACGTTTAAAGATAATGTTATCCGCTTTATTATCGGGCGATCACATTTCATTTATGACCCAACTAGAATGATTTGGCGATTAATGTTCGCTAATAGATAGAACGTTTTAAATTTTCGATCGCAGTTAATTAAAGAAAATTACAATTACATAAGATCTACATTAAACTTACGAAAATTATTCAGGCAACTTAAAAGGCAGTCGTATCATATTGAAAAATTTAAAAGGAAAATTAAGTGTTTTTTGTTTTGTTAATTTGATTAGGAAATGATAACATTTAGTTTTTGCTTATTTTAAAAATTTAAGACCGTTACTTTAGTGGTAATGTATGGTTTATTTTTAATTTGAAAGTATATTTTAGTATATTACCGCAAGCCGAATGATTTCTTTGAGCGGTCACACTGTCGCCCGTATTTGAAAGGTGCAGCCCTGGTCACTCTGGGCACGTAGTCAAAATGAGGTTTTTTTCCGGCCTTTTTCTAATTTTATTAATTAAACTTTTCCAAAATGCCAACGCCGGTGAGGTGGAAGTCGTCGGCTGCGGGGGATTCATCAAGAGCCACGCCGAGATTGACTTTTCCCGGGTGGAGATCAAACTGTGAGTTCAAGTTCCCTTCGAAATGGGGGATGACCTGATAAGATTCGGGCGCATGGTGACCGCTAATTGAATAATAAATTAACTTGCTGGTATGTGATTAACCTAATTTCAACCACTTTTTACAGGCTGACCAAGCAGGGATCTCTGAAGGACAAAACAGACTGTTCGCCTTCGAATGGCTACTACTTTCTGCCCATTTACGACAAGGGCGACTACCTGCTGAGCATTTCGCCGCCACCCGGCTGGAGTTTCGAGCCGGAACAGGTGGAGCTGAACTTTGACGGCAAAACGGACGTGTGCAGCCAGGGTCGCGATGTGAACTTTGTGTTCAAGGGCTTCGGAATCACCGGACAGGTTGCCCTAGCTACCGGCGGCGGTGCCCGTGACGTGGATGTCGAGCTGCGGTCGGAACAGGGCGAAGTCCGGCGCACAAAGAGCGATGCCAGCGGTGTGTTCTCCTTCACACCCATTATACCAGGGAAATATGTGGTGAAGGCCTCCCATGCGAGGTGGCACTTCTCCAAGGCGGAGCATAACGTGGTGGTAGTCAGCGGTAACACCGAGCTGCCGGCTAACTCCCTCGTTGTCTCCGGTTTCGATGTGGTTGGTCGCTTCGATTCCAGCACACAGCTTCCCGGAAATCTGGGTGTGGCTATCTACAAAAAGAAAGGAGTAAGTTTGTCATTTCCGTCTTTTTGGTTTTTTAAATCACATTTTTATCGGAAAGATCTCGAACATAACTATATATTTAAAATGGTTGATGAACTTTAGAATTTTGTTATCATTTTTCTTTGTTATAATTTTTTCATAAGCTCACCGTTTCCGTATTGTAAAATTCATGGGATTGTTTAAATTTTCTTAAGTGCTTAAAATCTAAAATCTATTATTTCTTGATTTCCGTAAAATTAAAAGCCCAAAAAGTCCCAATAGGCAAACCTAAACACTAACTAATTTGAACTTGTAAATTTTGCAGCAATCTCTAGTGCCAAAATGCGAAAAATCCTCCAAAGCGCCAGCAAATAGTGCCAAGAGCGACTACGAATCTGCAGCATCCTGCTTCTCCCAACTAGATAAATCCGGAGAATACATTTTCAAGAATGTGCCCTCCGGCAAATACTTGTTGCAGGCTATCAATCTCGATTCCAAGCTGAAGCTACATCTGAGCCCCGAGTTTTTGGAGTTGGAAGTGGGCAAGGACACGCTGCAACTGAAAGAGGAGTTCAAAATCACAGGGTTCACAGTTTCCGGTCAGGTTTTGACCTCAGCGGGAGGAGAACCACTGAAGTCGGCCGTTGTTAAGGTGAATGGAAAGAAGGTGGCAGAGACTGATGCCCAGGGATCTTATACATTGGAGAACCTGAAGGCCGGCACTGTCAACATCGAAGTGGAGTCCTCCCAGCTGCAGTTTTCTCCCCTGCAAGTTAAAGCTCAGATTACTACTGCCTCCCTGCCTACAATTGTGCCATCTGCATACGAGGTGTGCGGCAAAGTGGTGTCCCCGAAATCCCACAACGTGGGATTGACCAAGAGCGGATCCACCTTCCACACGACAACGACCACAAAAGCAGAGACTGGAAGCTGGTGTGCCTTCCTCCCAGTTGGAAAATATACCATTGAAGTTTTGACTACCGATGCAGACAAGGCTGCTGGAGTGCAGTTCTTCCCCGTGCAACAGCAGACGGAGGTGCGAGATGCACCTGTCAATGGCATCACCTTCTCGCAGCTCCGCGCCAAGATCCGCGGCGAACTCCAGTGCCTGTCTGATGCCACCGCCACCTGCACGTCTGCTGAGGTTACTTTGCAGGCTTTGGATGCCACCGGGCAGCCCACGGAGAACAAGTGGAAGGCACGGGCTCATCGTAAGTGTGGTCCAATGGGTATATTTATAAGGACTGTATTAAAATATTAAGCCTTAGAAACTATAAGTTCAATTGCAAGTTTGATCCTTCGACTAAACAGAAGAAATAAGAGAGAGTTTTTTGAGAAAGATACTTTAGCAGGCCTAAAAAGGATTCCGGAAAAGTGTAAAGGTCTGTTTTTTGACTCTATTTTACATTGCAATGATAAATTCGTTGTAACTCTATCTGTTAAACATTTAGAGATGAAAATTTCTTTACAAAATGTTCTATTTTTACTAATTTCCATACAGTACAGTCTGATTGAAATGAGTATAATGCTTAATGCTACAAAAACCAGTTGACACATTTACCACGTTGCAACCAAGTTTTGATAAGAATTATAAATTAAAGATAGAGATAAGGTCTCTTTTGTGAAATAGCTTAGATTTTGAAAGATAACCTCCGACGCTGTATTCTTTATCAAGAATAACTTCTTCCTCTAATTAATCTAACCCTTTTTATTCTGCAGGTGGCAAGTACGTGTTTAAGGACATGCTGCCAGGACCGTATGAACTTACCATTCCCCAGGGCAATCTCTGCTACGAGTCGACCCGCGTGTTCCTGAACGTCGCCTCGGCTGAAGAAGATGCACCACCATTTGTGCACAAGGGCTACGAAGTGTCCATCATTTCCAGCCATCGGGCTCTGGTAAGTAATTAAAAACAGGTTATTTAAACGGTAGCTAATTTTTTCCTTTTTCCTTTAAGATGAAATATACCCACGTCACTGGACCTTCTGAACCCAAGGCTCCCACTGAAACTTTGAAGATTGCCTCTGGAGTAAACACGTTCTGCGTGAACAAGTACGGAAGCTACGACTTTAAGTTGGAAGGATGCCACACCTACGACAGCTCCTTGCCCAGCAAGTTTATCACTCCGGAGCCAGATCAGCTGCAAACCCTGATCATCAACGCAGTGTCCCACAAGACGGGAATTCGTGTTTTGTCCTCGGAACCAACTGCTGAGTCCATTAAACTTGTGCTCGAATCTGAGGAACTCGGGCAGGAGGTGATCACACCCGTTGCTGAGTCCCACAAGGTTGATGGCAAGTTCGCCTATCGTTATGACACATATCTGAAACCGGAACAGGTACTTCGCATTACGCCTGTGAGCGATGTCTTGCTCTTTGCGCCCCAGCAACAGGAGATTGTAGGAAGCAGCGATTGTGTGGATATTGCCTTTAACTTTGTGGCCACCAGAGGTTTGATTCTGCGCGGAAAGGTGGTTCCTGCAATTAAGGATGCCAAGATCACATTGTCCTTCCCGGATCAGCCAGAGTTGCAGAGCCTGGAAATCCTTACCTCAATCACGGGAGAGTTTAAGTTCGGTCCCATTGAAGAGTCTCTGGCCTTTGACCTTAAAGCCGAAAAAGAATCTTATGTGTTCAGCGATTATAACCGTCAGTCAGCTTCGTTCAGTGCCCACAAACTGTGTGAGATTACCGTGGTTGTTAAGGATGAGGCTGGTCAGACCTTAGGTGGTGTCCTCCTCTCCCTGAGCGGCGGTGAAAGCTATCGCAAGAACCTGGTAACCGGGGATAATGGTGCTATTAACTTCCATTCCCTGTCGCCATCGCAATACTACCTGCGACCCATGATGAAGGAGTACAAATTCGAGCCCAACTCCAAGATGATTGATATTAAGGATGGCGAGACGGTTGCTGTTACCCTCACGTAAGTAATCAATCTTTGGAGGGAGAGTCCAAGTGATTAACCTTAACCTTTTTTCTCAGTGGCAAGCGTTATGCATACTCCATCTTTGGCTCAGTGACTTCCCTGAATGGTGATCCCTTCGCCGGCGTAAATGTGCAGGCCACCGCGGAGGAGGGCTGCCCGCAGCAGCAAGAGGAGGCCACCAGCGAGGCGAATGGACAATACCGCATCCGTGGCCTTCAACCCGGCTGCAGTTACTCCGTTCGTGTCGTGCCCGACAAGGAAAGCGTGGAGCGATCCATTCCCGCCCAGCACACGGTGAAGGTGGGCAGCGAGGATGTGCGCGACATCAACCTGGTGGCTATTAGCCCCCTCAAGATTGTGGACATCACCGCCAGAGTGACCGCCACACTCAATGAGCACTACAAAACCCTGCGCATTGTGATGTACCGCAAAGGAAATTCCGATTCCCCGGTGTTCTCGCAGCGAGTGGGCACTCCGGTGAATCCCAAAGCTAGATTGAATCCGGGCATCACCGTATTCTTCCCGCGTATTCCTCTGGACGGCAAGAGCTACGTGGTAGAACTGCAGTCCACACTCTCGGATAAAACATATACCTACAAGCTGCCATCGTCTACATTTGTGGCTGACAGAGGTTCCGTATTTATCAAGCTGGAATTCCAGCCAGAGGTGCGCGCCGCCGAAGCGGATCTTAACCAGAATTCCATCTCGGCGCTGCTGCTTATCGCTCTAGTGGCCATTGCCTTCTTCAAGCAGGACCTGGCCACCAGTTTCCTCAACTTCGTGTGGAGCAAGATCAACGATCTGGTCAACGATCTTGCCCAGCGTCAGAAGAGCAAGGCGCAGGTGCGCAAGAACGAGCCCATCAATCAGCGAGAGATCGAGCAGATGGCCGATCAGATCAATGCCATCAAAAAGAAAAAGACCAAGAAGATTTAGTCCCGACTGATAGTCGCATTAGTTGATCAGTTTAGTCACATTTCGAGGTATTCGCGGTAGGTATTCATTCGGTTTTGTTTTCTGTGAGATTTTGTTTAATCCTGTAACTTAAACTTATACTTTTGATTTGCATTTAAGAAGAATTTGTAATTTTTTCATTTTTCATACATAGATTGAGGCAAGTTTATTTTGTGTTCGTTATCCACTCTTATAGCTAAAATAAATAAATACAAATAAATAGATTAATTTAACAGGGCTGTTCTAATGCATCAGGATGTGCTCGGCAATTGAGCTAAGTTTGCGATTCTTGTGCTTGGCATGTCGCCTTTCAGCTTGGAGGTTGATCTCGTTCTGGGAATCCTCAACGGCGGATTCCTCGGTGGCTGCCTGCTGATCCTCTTGCTGCTGCTCGTCTTCCTGTTGCTGCTCCTCTTCCTGTTGCTGCTCCTCTTGATGCGTCTCCCCTTCGGGGTTCTCCTCGGCGTTCTCGACGAAAATGCACTCGGGATTTACGGCCGCACACTCGCCGAAGTTAGTGGCCCTGGCCTCAGGATTCCTAGCGTTGGTGTACTTCTCAAAGAATCCACGACCCACAATGCGGAAGGCCATGCTGGTCAGGGGATTCAACTTAGAACGGAACTCCATTTCACAGACGAAGCGGCGACGGCAGGCCTTGGAGTCCAGACCCAAGAAGGCGAACATAAAGTCGGCAATCCTAGAGATGATTAAACAAATGTAATCAAAGCTATTGGTATAGTTTTAACTCATTAACTTACTGCTCTTCGGCGGGCATTTGACGGGCCACACTCTCTGAAATCTCCTCATCCACAATCTCCACCTGCTCCTCCTCTGGCTGCTGCTCCTCCTCCTGAATTAAATGAGCCTGATCTTTAGTGCTACGCCTGCCGCGACGGCGCGTATCCACGGGACCAGTTGGGCCACTTGGACCAGCGGGACCCGAGGGAGATTCGCTGTGGTAGTCGCCGTGCACATCGGAGACAATGTCCGATCCTGCATAGCTGCTATATCCGGAATAGGGCTCGAAGCTGGGACTGGAGTCAAAGGAAGTGGGGGAATCATAGTGATCCGAGTGATCGTGATCCAGGGAGTAGGGAATGTGATCGTGATGGGAGTAAGATGAAGGACTAAATAAAGGAAAGAACATGATATAAAATATGCAAAAACCATACTATGAAAGACCACTCACGGATGATCCAGGATGATCTCCTGATTGCACCTGGCATGGGGCCAGAAATAGCGTAGACCAACGAAAATTGCGCTTCCCACAAAGAAGGAAACAATCACCACTTTCACCTTGATCCAGTAGGCAATGGCAATGGGCCACAGGTGACGATCTGTTATAGAAGATATATAAACAACCAGAAGATTAAATCATTTTCCATTGCATCAGACCTGAGAAACTTTCACTGCTCGAAATTCTACATTTTAAAGAGGGTTTCACGACAATTTATTAAACAATATCTATGCCCAAGATTGAAAGTGAAAAGTGTTAATTGAGAGCGATACGTGATCGTCCAATTTGGATGAGGTGCGTCTGGCTTGGGATTTGAACTATGGAGAAACTTTCCAAAGAAAGTGGGGTGGTTCGCGCCCAAGAGATGAGATTATGTTGATCAAAACGATCAGAATAATTGTAATACTTGCTCGCTAATTGTTATATAAATTATGTTTTCTTGATAACACCTGGAGGTAGTTAGGATCTTTACACTCGAAAGATAACTGGTGATTAATATTAGGTAACTTTGTGAGAAAAGTCTTTTGATTTTTGATCAAGAATAAAATTTAAGTTTTAGGATGTTAATTTTTGATTAAAAATTTTAGAATGTTTAGTTAAACTCTTGACGATAAATAAAACTTTATGAGAGTCTAATTTACTTACACCAGAACATGTGGTGGCGATGGCGGCGAGTGCGTCCTTCGAATTCCATTAACTCCCGGCCGAGATTCTCCCAAGTGTCCCCCGCTTGGCTATCCACTTCTGCCGGTGGCTCAACATTCTCCGTCTCCTCGCAAAAGACTAGGGTGAAGTAGACGACCAAGAGCACGGCTCCGTACCAAATGGTATTCTTGTGCATGGTTGTAAATGGTTCAATTGATTTCTGGCGGTACGAATATTGAAAGCTGGTATCCCTTTGGCTTTGGTTGGTCACTGCAGAACCGAATGATGCAGCTCGAAGCCGGGGGTCCAGCTTTTATACCACCGGCCAACGGCGATCCACTCCAAGTTCAGGGTGATAATTAAAACGATACTGTTGTGGCTTTGCGCGCAGATTTTCACACATGCGTAGAGCCGGCGATGACGAGTTTAATGCCCAAGACATGCATTTGAAATTTCTTTAAACTGGTGCAATTTCACTTTCAAAAAAGTCGTGCCCGCGTTTCTAGGCGCTTTTGTTTTCGAATAAATTAGTAGTTATTACGAAACATGAGCCTAAACTTGAGGTAATTGCCGGGTGGCGATTTTCCCCAGAACAGATTTCAAATATTATGTAAAAGCGCGCCAAAATGTATCGAACCTGGAAGTTCTAACGGCTCATTGGCAAGCTAGGCAGTTATCGTGCTGAGAGTTCCATCCCTAATAAAACATTGTAAACATTCTTTAACTTACAATTAAATGCCGGTTTTCTGAGTTATGTCCAGCTTAAAGTCGAACGATATGGACAGCAATCCGGCACCGGATCCCCAGGCGCCCATTACCCGCAAGGGCTTCCTCATTTCACTGAACACCGGCACACCAATGCCCATTCCCGAACAGAATCTGGTTTGTTTGAGTAATCCTCTCCAGAGTTTTTAATACATTTATAATCTTTTAGTTTGGACGCTGTCGTCCTGTCTCCGAATTCGAGAAACTAAATCGCGTGGGCGAAGGCAGCTATGGAATTGTCTGTGAGTTTTGGTTTGGAGGAAGTTAACCCAGTGAATTAACCTGAAATCCTATATAGATCGCGCACGTGACACCCGCAGCAATGAGATCGTGGCCTTGAAGAAGGTCCGTATGGATCAGGAAAAGGATGGACTGCCTGTCAGCGGTCTCCGCGAGATCATGATCCTAAAGCAGTGCCAACATGAAAACATTGTACGTTTACGAGAGGTGGTTGTGGGCAAGAGCCTGGACAGCATCTTTCTGGTGATGGATTTCTGTGAACAGGACCTGGCCTCCGTGCTAGACAATATGTCCCAGCCATTCACCGAGTCCGAGGTTAAGTGCATCACCCTGCAGGTGCTTAAGGCCTTAAAGTACCTGCATGCGCGCTATATGATTCACAGGGATCTAAAGGTTTCCAATCTTCTGATGACCGACAAGGGCTGCATCAAAGTTGGTATGTAGAATATTCGATTTAAAGTTCATTATGGGCTAATCTTGTTCCAATCCTCAGCTGATTTTGGACTGGCCCGCATGTTCAGCAATCCCCCCAAGCCCATGACCCCGCAAATGGTTACTTTATGGTACAGAGCGCCGGAACTTCTCCTGGGCTGCCGGACACACACAACGGCGGTGGATATGTGGGCTTTTGGCTGCATTCTGGGTGAACTGCTGCTCGGAAAACCACTGCTCCCCGGCAATTCGGAGATTGCGCAGCTGGACATGATTATTGATCTCCTGGGAGCCCCTTCGGAATCCATTTGGCCTGGTTTTGCCGATCTGCCCGCTCTGCAGAACTTTACATTGAGCCAGCAGCCGTACAATAATCTCAAGACCAAGTTCCACATAATAAGTCAGTCCGGCAGGAATCTCCTGAACATCTTGTTTATCTACAACCCAAAAACCAGAGCCACTGCCGAGGAGTGCCTAAATAGCAAATATTTTGTAGACCCACCGCAAGGTGAGTTTATTGTCCTGTTAGTAGATCAATTCTCCCCAATAATGAAACTATTTTCCTCTTTCAGCATGTGACCCCCGCATGATGCCCACTTTCCCACAGCACCGGAACAATTCTGCAGCTGCTCCGCCCGCTCAGCCGCCCGCAGACATTCCGATTTCTGATCTACTCAATGTGTTCATTAAACGCCAGCGCATGGATTAAACGAGAACGAATTTATTTGTACATTATGCAACGCACTGGGTAAAGAACTACAGGTATGGACGGTCCATAGGCGTCTTCTTTGCCTTCTTGTCGCGGGATCGTGGAAACCAGCGGTGCTTGGTCGTGTGGGTTAGCTGCATCAGCTCCTGACGAGCCACCTCCGGATGCTGGCTCTTAAATGCCCTCATTGCCGTCTTCAGCGCCGACTCCTTGACCACCGACGAGCTCTGAACTTCAGCGATCTTGGGAAGCGGCTGAGTGTTCTCATAGGGAACGGGCGTTTCTGGGTGCCAGGCCACTATTGTGCGGCCACTCCGTGTCACCGCCACGGCCTCCACCAGGCCCTTGCCACCAACGGCATTACGTTGCACGGCGCTTGAGGAAAATAAACGAAAACCTCCGTATAAACGTGCCGCTGACATTTTTACGCCTAGAGATGGCACGCACGCGGCGATAACTGAACAGCTGGAAATTTATCGAACATAAGGGCTCTGTTGCCCCTTTGTTTTTTTATAGCCATATTTCAAGATTCTGTCATCACTGACTGCCTTCCAGTCAGGTTTGAGTACTCGATACCAGGCGCTTACTCACTTCCCTCACAGCTGATTGGCATTTGAAAACAAATATTCCGGCCAAGATGTGGATTGCCTATGCCCTGGTGGTCCACGTACTGCTCCTGGGCTCCATCTTCGTGATCTACTTTCGCTCGCCTGTGATTACGGGTCTGACACCGCAGAAACGTACACTATTTTACGGACTAGAGGCGCCGGCGAATCGCTTGGTGCTGATTGTGACCGATGGATTCCGCGCCGACTCCTTCTTCGAGGAGAACTGCAGATATGTGCCCCACCTGCGCCAGATCTTCATGCGGGAGGGCGTGGTGGGCGTGTCGAGAACTCGCGTGCCCACGGAAACTCGTCCCGGCCACATAACCCTGCTCGCTGGGTTATACGAAGATCCTTCGGCGGTGCTCCGTGGCTGGAAGAAGAACCCTATCGACTTTGACACAGTGTTCAACCGGAGCGCCCAGACCTACGCTTGGGGCGCCGCAGATGTTATGAACGTGTTCTCACATCTTTCCAACGCCGGGAAAATGCACTTCCGCTTTTACGACGACTTGGACTTTTCGCCGGGCTACGATACCTACGAGCAGGACGAGTGGGTCTTCAAGCGGGTCAAACTCCTGCTCCAGCGGAAGGGGGAAGCCCTGCGGCGGGGCAAGCACGTAGTCTTCTTCCTGCACCTCCTGGGACTGGATACCGCCGGGCATGTTCACAAGCCGGGTTCGCCGAAGTTTCTCGAGAATGTGGACAAAACAGAGAGGGGCGTCTATGAGATCTACCAGGAATTTGAGCGTGTGTTTCCCGACAAGCGTACTGCGTACTTGCTGACCGCCGATCATGGGATGACCGACTCGGGTATGCAATTATAGTAAGAACTTCAGTCTATAAAGCAAATTTCATTAATCAATTACTTGCAGGTTCCCATGGCGCGGGCTCTCGCCATGAAACGGACACTCCTTTTGTGCTCTGGGGCGCAGGAGTTTCCCGGACGGTTCCCAATCCTGGAGGTCTTAATTTTATGCCCAACGATGAAGGTCCTGCGATGCCACTTTACGAATTGGAGCAAGCACAGCTAACACCCTTGATGTCCGCACTGGTAGGTCTCCCTCCGCCCATGAACAATTTTGGAACGTTACCCGTGGGTTACATGAATGTCAGCAAGGAATACGAGGCCATTGCATCCCATTTAAATGCTCTGCAGCTTCTGGAGCAGTATGAGGCACTCTTGAAGCAACACAAAAAGGGATTTTTTGCAGAGGTTTTATCCGAGTTTAGTGTTCTCTCAACGGAGGTAATCAAAGGATACAAAGACGTGATATTGATGCTGCATAAGGACAGGGACTATTTAAATTCCATAGAGAGGAGCCAAGTTGTCATGGCGAAAGCCCTTGAAGGCATTGATTACTACCATGGATACTACCGTAGAGCACTTTTACTGAGTACCACCTCCACGTTCCTAGGATGGATATTCTATCTATACCGCCTGCTGGCCAGGAACAGGGCTGGAAAAGTGGAGCTGATCCTTGAACGGAACACCAAGCTGGTAAGACTGAGCCTGGGAAGCTCTGTGATCCTGCTAGTGATCTGCCTACTAGGCCAACGAACACCACTGGATATATCCTTTTACCTGCTCCTTCCTCTCTTCGTCTGGCTAAAGGCTTTGCAGCCTTGGAATCTAAACTTCTCCTTCTCGCCAGCAGCGGCATATAGTGTTCCAGCCATGCAGACAACAATGTGGCAGCTTATATTGATAATAGCTTGCGCGGAGTTGATGGTTTTCACCTTCTTCGAGCGACGCCTGATCTCACTCTGCTTCTTGGCCTTCGCTTGTTACAATGGTTGGAGTAACTTTCAACCAAAGTCCAGGGAGTTTTACTCTTGGCTGGCATTAGTCTTGATCCTGGCCTGCTTTCCCCTGTTGCCGCTCTCTGTGGGCTATCGGAATGGTTACCTACTTGGAGTTGGAGTTATTGTGATACTCGTGAACTCATTTTGGAATACAAAGACGAGATTAAGCTACAAAAAGCACACTAAATACTGCAATGCCCTGATCCTGCTGCAAACCATTGTGTGTGCCTATCTCCACTCCAACGGACTAAATATTCCTATTCCTTTGAAGGTGGCCAGCTGGAATTTTCTGGTATACTCCTTCGCATCCATTCTGCAGAGCAAAGATCAAAGACTGGATATGCGCCTGGCCCAGATTGGCTTTAATTTGGGATCCCTGTACGCCACTCTGTGTACCTCCTATGAGGCTGTGTTTGTCCAGCTGCTGGTCCTGGAACTGAGTCTCTCCTTGAAGGCGCAGAACGCGCAGGCGGAAAAGTCAGTGATACGACTAGCCTTCACCCTACTCCTGTACACCTTCTTCTCGCTCTTCGGTTCCGGCAACATTGCCTCCATCAGCTCCTTTGATCCCAACATCGCCCGCTGCTACCTCAGCCACTTTGCTCCCTTTGTGATCATGGGTCTGGTGCTGCTGAAGCTCCTCGTGCCGGTGGTGTTGATCATGTCGATAGTCTATGCCCAGAGTGAGTTTGTGCGCCAGCACGAGGAACAGATCTTCATCTCCCTGCTGCTCATCTGCGATGTGATGGGTCTGAACTTCCTGTTCTTGGTGCGCAACCAGGGATCCTGGCTGGACATCGGGACGTCCATATCCCACTTTGTGATTATGGAGGTCACCACGCTGGTGATCCTTCTGCTATTCTACACCGCCAAGCAGCTCCTGCGAGTCATTCCATGGGAGGAAATTGACATCAAAAGATTGCCGCTCCGCCTCATCCATTGGGATCTGATCAGCGCCAAGCATCACTAGCCTGAACTAGCCTTAAAAACGCTTTAACCAAACTGTTAGCTTAACTTAAACATTTATGTCCGATAATATTTACAACACTAATTAAGAATTAGTAACATACACATGTAAATTATAGAATCTAATGCTAGGAATGTGTCTGTGTGTGGGTGCGGGTCAGAGGGGATCGATTTCTTTAGACTATATATTTTTCATTATTTTAACTCTTGTTTAAAAAGTCTTAAAACCAAACAAAATTAAGTATTTTTCTTAAAGGAATATACACGATATATTTTAATATTCTGTTAACTACTATGAAGATTTGTTTTACAGATCAATTTGCAGAAATTGTAAAAGCACTTTACAATTTATCAGAAAATCTGTTTAAAAATGTTTTTTTTTTTACATTGACCAAAAGGATAAATTTAAAAAACAATGTTTATTGTATTATTGTTGTGCAAACTTAGAAATTATATTTCTTAAAAAAAATTTTACCTAACCATTATTCATTATTATTAGTCCAAAAAAATCGACCCGCCCTATAGAGGATGGTGGAGTGTGGGGTGTGTTTTCGTGTGGTTTTGTGTGTGTCATGGCACAACGACATCTAATGAGTAGTAGTAGCAGCAGCACGGACAGGGAATTACCTTTTCCCAATTAATCTTTCAGATATCGCTCCAGCGGATTAAATCCCTGGAGTTTTGGGCTGGCCGTCTCATCTGGAATTTTTACTGGAATCAGTATCAATCAATTTACTAGAAACAGGATGTCTTACTTGACTGGGCCGGCTTGGCTGTGGTGGCACTTTCCCGCGGGGTTGCTTGCAAGCAGTTGAGCCACTCGGACAGCGAGATCTTCTTGTCTCCATTGACGTCGCAGTAGCGCGGCATCTTCTTGCCACATCTGCGCAGATTGCTGAGGGATCAAAAATTATTTAGGGATTGACTACGAGATGGTACTATAAGTGACAGCTCACCTGGCACTAGTGACAAGATCGCGGAAGTTCTTCCACTCTCGGCGATCCCACGACTTGTTTTTGTTCTTGTCCAAATAAACAAAGCTCAGCGTGGCAATTCGCTCATCATCTGTCTTCCACATTGTGTAGTTGGTGCTGCAATATTAAGACATTTTGATTTAAATTAGATTGCAAGAGAATTAGGTGTTAATGAAAATAAATAAAATTAATATTAATTTTGATCTATAAAACTATTAAATATAGTTTCGTCCTACCCGGTTGTGCTACTCGGCAGGAGGGATGTGTTGAGGTAGGCCTTCAGCTCTTTGAGGAACTGCGTCTTACGCGGCTCAGTGCATCCCTTCATGGGTCGCACCACTACAGTTTCGTCGCACTGAGGTTTCTTGTTCTTCACCGATGTGCCGGGAATGCTCTTGCCCGTATCCTCGTTGACGCACCAGCAGTACGAGGTTGACGTGGAGGAGTAGCACTGGATGCGCTGGTAGCGACCATCCGGCAGGCACTGCGGCACAAATAGAACATTCTTTCCGCCATGCTGTTGAGAAGGATAATAAAATTTAGAAAGATGTGTCCTTTTGAAGGATGCTCTATTACTTACGCCCTGCTCCTCCAGCGTCACCGACTGGTCCATCCAGCAGTTGGAATCGCTCTCTATGTCCTGGCTCGTCGCCTCTGGCTTCGAGTTGAGCACTGTAAAGATTTGCGCGTTAACATACATTTTATTCTGCCCTTTGGAAGCATGCAGAATGATAACGAACACAGAAAAAAAATGATATGAAATGGGAGTCAATCGGATCTTATTTCATATTAAAGAAATTCCGAAAATGATTATCGTTATAATGATCCTTGATGTACTTAAATGAAGATAATATTTGAAATATCCTTGCTCTGCAAACTACTTTGATATTCTTTAAACTTCTTTAAAGTGTCTAAAATAAATGAAGAATCTGATCTTTAAGAAAAAATATTAACATTTGGATTTTTAAATAAGGTAATTTAAATGTTTTTCCCATCAATATCAAAATATTAAAACAAATGTAATCGTTATTAATTTAAAACTGTATGGCGAACTGATTAATGTTGGTACTTGGTTAGTTTTCACACAAATCTACGTACTATATAATGATGGGATGTGGGTTCGTGAGCTGGGCAGGTCTGCACCCTGGGAGTCGTCCTCTTCTCCTCCGTAGCCCGTGCCACTGTCCTCGTAGTTGTCCTCGTGCTCTTCACTGCCACTCACATCCTCGGAGTACGAGTGCGGATTGATGCCTCTGCCGATTATGTTTGTATTGGTATGACCATGACCTCTGTGATTCGTGTTGTGGATGCTGTAGTGGGTGGAGTGCGGCGGGGCGGTAGCTGCACTGCTGGCCAGAAGGGCTACGATAGCACTACCTGAATTTAGATAACACACAGATGGGAGATGCTTTAAAGGTTCGAAAAAATGGGTCATGATATTCCAAATGCATGCTGTGTAAACTAGCAATTTGCTCCAATAATAGTTGATAGTTTGATAAAACTAAATATAATGTAATATCTCAAAATACTATTTTTTCGAAATTTAATTTTATGACTCATTTATTTTCAAAATTTGAATTTATTCAAAATTATGTGAGACTTGTGAATTTTAATAATTATATACTATTACATATCCACATTCTAAAGAATCCAACTTTACTCACGGTTGCTAAGCTCTTTGGTGAAACAGATGCTCCACTCCAGCCAATTTAGGTTCGCATCCTTGGTGACATCGCAGTATTTGCCGAAGGTGCGTCCACATCGTCTCGGTTTCACATTCTAAATTTAACCAAAAGGTATTAGTTTTCCGGGATACAACAAACTCAACTCACCCGCCTGAGGACCTTCTTGAGCTCCTTAACTTCCTGACGATCGAGCAACTTGTTGCCATTCGTGTCTAGTTTGGAAAACTTCCACTCCAAGATGTGGGAATCCGAAAGCGAAGGCTGGCGGAAAAAGCTCTGGGCCTCGTTGCGGAACATGCGCATCAGATTATTGTTGAACATCTGCCGATCAGCCTTGCTGCAGGGTCGGTGGGCAGTAGATCCTGCCTCTCCACTTCCCTTAGAGGCGGAGGAATCCGGGCTATAGCCAATCTGATGGGATGCCAGGCGGCGCCGATCGCGTCGTTTAGCCCTGCAGCGGAGTTTTCCATTTCGTCGGAATTTATTGGAGTCATCCTCGATGGGCCTGCCCTGGCTATTGCTGCACCAGCATCCGTTGCTCCCGTAGCACTGCTTCGCCGCAAAGTTGCCATCCTTCCTGCACCTGGGCACAAAGTATTCGGGATCGCGTTCCCTCTGACGACGGGCGAATTTCACCGCCTCCAAGCAGGCTAAATGGTAAGATAAATATTAAGATAGTTTGAGATACAAAATTGTTTGTAAGACCCCCTATTTTGAACTTAAAAGTTTATATTCATCTTTATTTGGATAGTTTGAAAGGTTTTAGCTAAAAACTTGGAGTTATGTTATTGTTGGTCTATTGTCACTAATAATTCTCAAACTGAAAGGCTTAAGTGGAATTAGATGAATTGAAATGAGATAAATCTCAATAAGAATTTGGCAGTTATATTTAGGTAGGTTTCTAGTGGTTCCTTAACTTTAAAGTTTTTTAAAACGAAACAGATTAGGATAAAACCTTATATGTAACTTTTTATTTTCTTGGTTCTGTCTTTAGGGTAAATACATATACAATATTGTATTAAATTAAAAAGGCAAACAAGTGGTGGATTGCAAGTCAGTGGATCTATTTGGAGGTACATCTAAAGTGAGATGATATGACGATACTTACCATTACAGGATCCGCTGAACTTGAGGCTCACCTGGTGGCCGCCGCACTGCGCCCGCAGCAGGTGACACCTGGTGGGATAGGTCTGGCCGTCGGTGCCGCAGACGGGACCCTCGTTATCATCACACTCGCCCTGCTTGGCGGCACAGGCGGGGAGCTTCATCTGCAGGTAAAGATCGGAAGGAGAAGGAGGAGGTGTCAGTTCAAGTCTCGGCTATATGTATATATACCGCTCCCCCTTCGGCAAACACGCGTAAAATGATTTACTGCACTTATGGCCAGGTCTGCGAGTCGCCAAGCGTCTGGGCTTTCGCCTCTGACTGGAATACGAATGTTGGCAACGTCTGACAGGGGCGGCAAAAAGGGGGGTTTGGGGGTGGCCCACCAGCTACCCGGCTAATGTGAAAATCAAAGTTGTCAGGCCCATAACTCGAACGGCATCGCGAATACACAGCCCCGAAATCAGCACCAAAATTATGGCACACTGCTGCTCGACCAACTGGCTGCTGAGTGCGCAAATTCTTGTTTAGCCCACAAAATCTCATACACGCGTGTATGTAAATCGCAGATATCTGTATCTATATTTACTATATATGTGTGTATATATATGGGGAGGCCCAGCACTTTGGGATTTGGCACTGCAGTGCCTTTTGTCGCCAATTTGCTGCGGACAGCCCACTGATATTTATTTGTCGTGTCACTCGGACATTAATTAGATTTCGCTGTTATTGAAAAGTGAAATGCGTCAAGCGATCTTAATGTCCCATAACTGAAACATGTTTCGGATAAGATATGGGAATACTAATTGAGGTGCTCATGGTAGTTAAAGTATAAGAGCTTTGCGGCTACTGTCCAATTTCTGAAGCACTTTCAAATTATTTTTTTTAATGGACCTTTTCAAATTTGTATAATTTTCTTGGAGATATCTAAGAAACCCTATAAGATTAAAAATAATAATCCTAAAATCCATGAAAAATCATCTAAGAATTAATAACACATAACGTCTGCAGTCAATATTTTTAGAGAAGAGAAACCATTTTATGAATTCAAAAGAATATCATATGAACAAGAAGGGATTATCGCTATCAAAATTGTATAATCCAGCTTAGTAAATTTATACTTTTATGTAGACACCAAAGAAAAATCAAAATGTATTCCCCATGACCCCTTTGCTGACACTAAACACCAGAAGCTCAACAAGAAATGTTATACAATTATGAGAATTATGAGAAGCACAAAT